AAAGATTAAAGAACCCTCGGGTTTACTAGTCTTTATCCTAAAAGTAAAGCAATTTACTTTCGTTATACAAATTCGTGGTTTAAGCCTAAGTTTTTTTCAAAATTACAAAATGATCAGTAATAAAGTCTTTGGCCCTATATGACGGCCCTACAAATAACTATTATATATTTAAAAATACATGATACCTATTTTTAAACTTTGCAACTTACTTACTGTAAGTATAATAATATTTAATATAACACTTACAATGTTAATACTACTAGGTTTTCTTTTTGAAGACCCAAATAATCAAATAGTAATTCCATCGGATTATCTATTTAAAGGAACAACACTTAGCCTATATTTAGGTATACAATATTTTTATTATGTACACCATAATAAAAATCCATCTCTTTCTGGGTATAGTATTTTAATTTTAAAACAGATTTGTCGTATTATTATAATATTCTCAATACTAAATATTATAAACGAACAAAATTATCTAACTATAAAAGACGATAATTCATTACAATACGTATGTGCATTTATTAGCTTTATATTTATTGCTTGTTTATTTTTTATTAAAGTCCAAAGTTATGGTTTAAATAAAGCATTATTTTACCTTTTTTTTCAGCTATTAACATTATATCTTCTTCGTTTAAATTTAATTTTATTTATACCGATGATTTTACCTTTAGCTATTAGCCAACCAGTTATTAATATACTAAATACCCAGATTAATTTAAGAACATATATTACTGAGGATATTTGTAATCTTAAATTATGATCTTGAATTAAAATAATTTTATTCTCCGTAGTACAGGATCTTAAAATTTTACCTTCAGGCGCAAGCTCTAAATTAATTCTTCAGGATATTCATCGGATTTTAGTTAGCTCAAGCACTTTATATTCACGTATCAGGACCCCAGAGTGAACTGATCACATAGAAAAGCAGGAAGTAAGTGTTGATCGAACTAAATCGTTAAAGGATATTAATTTTAACCAAAGTTATATTCTTGGAGCTATGAAGAATTTCGTAGTTGCGGAACAATTTTATAAAATGAAAATTAACACGGAAGAGATGAAAGCTCTACTTTTTTTACTGGAAAAGAGGTTTTACTCAGATAATATTGTGACTTTAATGTGCAGTAATGAGCGAAATCTGGATGTTCTCCCTATGGCGTATAATAGAATTCTACCCTCTTTTAATCCAAAAGATGATTACTTCCACGATTTTCCTTTTCCATATGCAAAAGATTTTAAATTAGCTACTTTTAAGAAGCTAGGTAAACTTGATTATGCTGAGGATATATCTTCTTTTATTAGCAAAAACTCACTAGCGGAAAAATTTAAAGAATATCTAGTAATAGGGCTAGTTGTGGATGGAAAAGGGTATAAATGACCGGAGGCTTACCATCTACATCTTTATGGTTTTGAGGGACATGTCAAACCTTTTATAGTAAATAATTGAAATTTCAATGACTTAATTTACATAAAAATTCAAGATGATGTATTTGTTAAATTTAATCCTCATAATATAACTAATGAAATGATAGATAAAAAAATTTGCTTAAAAACACCTGATGGTAAAATGGAAGAGACCCTTATTAATGTACGGAATTATGCTAAACCTTTTAAAAATAGTACAAATCCTGCAAATATTGAAAATTCGGATTTAGCTTCGTGTGGAAAAAATTGTAATATACGATATGCTAAATTAGTATTACCTATTTCAACCGATTTAACCTGAGATAAAATGGATTGAGTAGCTTCTAGCTGTAGTGATCCGTCAAAGGTTCAAAGTAGTTAATATAGAATTGGTTCTTCTATTTTTATTTTGATAGTGTTAATTGAAATGAGATAAACCTAGGGTAACCTCAATATACCAAAATATCTCATTTCAAAGTGAATTTTCTATAATTCCTTGCCGCTTGCCGAAGTCGCCGCAAACGTGGTCCTGCTGCGTCCAACCCGTCGAGGGACGACGGGGGGGAAAAAATAAAAAAAACATACAACGGGTACCGCCTGGGTTTAAGCAATGATCCAACAGTTCAAGCAGGGGGAAAACAGGAGGCTCTGCTTGTCGTGAATCCAGGGAAAAGATGTTGTATCAGCATCCGAGCGTCTTATTTCTCCGTTCCCCATGTGACCAACGCGTCCAGACTGCGGCGTCAACGTCCATCTCCAACTTTAGTCGCGATGATGCAAATGATGACGCCGGCGTTCCCATTCCCACCATCAATTCTATTGTGGGATGGGGCGTGATGAGTCAATACATGGGACGAAGGGCAGTGGATATCCCATCTATATCGAGAGAGATTGACGAACGGTGAGTGTAGGCAAATAGAGTACCTCACATATACGAGCCATCGGCTATAGCGTTCCTAATTCTGGCAGAAAAAGAGATGATATCGATCGTTATGGCCGTCCTCCGTCAGGTGAAGGTATCATCCATGGAGGAGCACGATGGCTCTGCCCTGCCTCGGCATATCCCATACGAGGACGCGCAGGGATCGGCTGGGAAGACAGGAGGAGGGGTGTCTCTGGTTGTCAAGGACGGAATTTCGTCCACACGCAAATGTTAAACGAGCAGTCAAAGAACAGGTTCCCTGACAAGACAACCCTTCCCCCCGTCTGTCCCCCCCTCCCTCTTCGGTTTCTCTTTCTTTCTGGCCGCCCGACTATGTAGAGACTCTGGAATGTTGCCTTTAGGTGTGGCTTGTCAATCTTGTCTCTGGTTCCTGGTATTGCCACGAGGTTGGGGGAGGCCGGGGAGGTTCGATTACCTAGCCGTTTTCAACCCTTCGAGCGGATACCTTGGGTGTCAGCTGGGAGATTGCCTTGTTTTTCCCTTTTGAAGATCAACCCACCGAAAGAGAGGATCTTCTCTGTGATGGGGCCCTTGGGCCGAGGAAAGATGCAGCGAGCCGTCATCAGTGTAAAATGTGAATGAGTGACTGACGGCCTGATCCCTGGCACAACGAGGGTCCCGGAATGGAGACGAACGTTGAATTTTCCCATGGACGGGCTGCGACGCGTCTTCCCCTTACTCGGTCAGCTGCCGACAAATGAAGCCTGCGCCGACAGAGGGGACAGCTCTTTGTACGCAGTAGTATAGGTCAAACTGAGCCTCAAGTCGGACCTCCAGTCTTTGTCCAAAGGTCCCTTGTTTGAGGAGAATGGGGAGCGGAAATCCAGATCGGGTACAGCTCCATATTGTCTCTTACCGAGTTTGGCAGGCCCATCACTCTACTGAGTCTCTGTACCTGTTTCCGGCAAATGAAATGAGTCTCCATCCGCGCGCAACTGAACACCGCAATTGGGGGTCCGACGGCGAGACCGACAAACTTCGACTGACAAGTAAGAGAAAGAGAATGGACTATGGAGTGAGTTGATTGATCCATGTTCTACAGGCGGCCGCAGCGTTTCGTTGCCGCCGACGCAGCTTGAGGCTGGGGCAGCCACAAAGAAGGCTGTGCTGAGCTATTCAGAAGGGCAAAGATGCGAAGAGAAGAGGTGTGCTGAGCTTGTTTGGCGGCTAAGGCCGAGCCGCGGGCACAAAGGGCGGCGGCGGCTTTTCGAAGATGGTGGTTCAAACTGAAACCGGTGGTTGGCTGGTAACGGCCGCATCGAGAAAAGGGCACGAACGGGCAAACGCAGCCAGTGGCAGGTCGCTCAAGGCCATCGCCGGCGGGCGGGAAGGAAGGGGTTTCTGGTTGTGAGTGGTTGAGAAACATCATGTTCTAGACTGTGCTCACAAGGTCCCTTGTTTTACGGTGGATGGTGAGTGGTGGGTTGCGTTGATGACTGAGACCCAATTGTCGGTAGGGATATTGTCTGATTCACAGATTGGCTACACGTCAAATGAGAAGCACGGTCGGTGGTGATGGTTCTCTAGTGGGCGGCTTGGAATGATGAAATGATCTGCAATCGACACATTTGCAAACTGACTCTTGACGAACCCACGAAATCCACGAAATCCACGAACCCGGCCGAGAGAGGGAGATTTCGGCCTACATAATTTGAGCGGAGGATATTTTGGGTTTCATGAGGAATGTGAATGTGGGCTGAAATGCTGACTATACAGACCACCTGAGCAAGGAATCCTGAGCACAGCACCAAGCAGCACCATAGTCTCGGTATTTGGTGCAAGGATGGAGGGAGCAAGCAGGGAAAGACAAGAGAAAGCACAGGACACCAAGAGGCTCTCGCCTCAACATGAGCCAACCGCCGCAGCCCCAGGAGGCCAGAGACACTGGGAACAGCTAGGGGGGCCCCAGGGCAAAATCTGGCAACCGAGAGGCGAGGCCGTCAATGAGGGACAGGACGACGGCGGCTGTTCGGTTCCAGAGTTCAGACTCTACAGCCTCAGTAAGGTAGAGAGAGGCAGAGGACAGGGGTTGCCCAGCAGAATGGAATTCGCGCTGACACTCGGGTAGTAACAGGAAACGTGGCGGTGGTTGGGCGTCGCACACCACAACTTGCGCCTCAGCCCAGCGGCGTTGAGAACTTGAGCTTTGTCTTTTTGACATGCCTGTCATTTTCCTTTTACTCTCTGATTCCCGTATCAACTATTCGTATTACGGGTACACATGGTTTGAGAACCGTGTCCGAGTGTTGGTTATAGTGTGTATGATCGCTGAGACCTATTTGTATGTGTGTGTGTGTGTGTGTGTGTGTGTGTGTGTGCGCGTACGTGTGATTTGGGGGTTTGCTCGCCTTGTGTGATGTGTAAACATGGCACTGCATATCGCCGGTAACCCAGCTTGATAGGGTGGTTCGTAGCTCTCAGGTCAGCAACTTCAAACACATGGCGTTCTTTTCGTAATGAACTGGAACAACCAACGCACAACTTACCATGAAGGAGGACGTGCAAAGAGTGAACCGGAAGTAAGCTGCCACTGCTCGAGGCCGACTCCCGCCACTGCGATGGCGAATTCCCATTTTTGCGAGTCTGCGACGAGAGAAGAGAGTGTTCCCCTGGCAGATTCATTTCCGTCTTGGGATTGAGACGCAGCACCAACGCCGGCAGCAGCATAAAGACCAGCTTTAATCAGGGACAAGAATCCCAGCAGTGGCCATAAATGACGGAAACACCTCATATCTGCAGCAGGCCAGCAGCTTTAGTGTTGAATAGTCTCTGGTCAACAACTCTAGATGCGCGACTATGACTTTGAGTGAAGCAAGCAACCGCACGAGCCAAATAGACATACATATGTCCCTACGATTAAGTCAGTCGGGGCATGGATAGAAATCATGAGACCAGCCAGGGTGAACTGGCAAAAGTAGGATAAAATAAAAATGAAATGAATCCAGCAAACCGATACGTACCCAGCCTGCACGGCAGGATTGACCAAATTGGAACTCCCCGATGTTCCATTGGTCCAGAATTGGCGCCGACCTCTAGACGACGGGCGACTACGAGGCGCATGCACGCGATGGACCAACATGGGACTGCGGACCTTTTTTTCTTCTTTTCTTCCTGTCCTGGGCTGGCTATTAATAGACCCCGGTCGTGTTTCGTAACGTGCGCTCCAGTCACGACGCAGTCCCAATGCCCCAGTGGCCCCACCCCTGAGGGGAACCCAGGGGATCACTCGCACCAAGCCAAGAGTCCACTTTTTCCGTCCTGGGAGAAGTCTTGATGGGGTTGGCCGGCTCCACTTGCGCTGGCGGCCCCTCCCCAATCCTCTCTCTTTCTCTCAAGACTCTTGCACACACCACGCTCTCTTACTGGCTTTCTTAATCGCGGGGGACCACAGAAACTTGGAAGACAGACAGAAGAATTGGTGAATCACACACAAGCTGACAGAGATGTTAGAAAGAGGAGAGAAAGGCCTAGAAGGCCGATTGGACCAGTCATTGCCGTTCGTCTGCATCTTGCAGCACAGCAGCCAGCGGCAGCGGAACACCGGATTCTCGCCTTACCCCTCCACCCCCCATTTTGCCATTAGTAGCATCAGCCAGGCCAGTCAGTCAATCTAGCCAGCGTGCTGCTGCTTTTCGGTTGCTTCTGTGCTGCTTGCTCTCTGCATATTGCAAGTGTCAGGTCAGAGTCACCACATTGTAATTGGTGTCTGTCCGTTGTTGCGTATCCACAACAGCCGTATGTCTGGAGCACGGGGGTTGGCCATGGCAGAGCGGGCAGTCGATACAGAGTAGGTATCTGTTATGCCACTGCCCACGGCTCTAAAACAACAGCAAAATCAACCCAAGGACGGGCACCAGTCCAAGTCCTCTTCAATGGCGGCGGGCTAGTCGACGGCTCGCGCGTAGTTACCTCCGGCCACGCCCTCAGGTGCTGGAGCTAAGGGGGTAGCGCTGCGCAGACCAGGCCGTAGAGGAGGCCGCACTAACAATTCCCGATCCGACCCCCAGCCAAAGTGTCGAGATGGGTTCCAGTTTGTTGCCTGTCTGTGTGCCCGTGCCTTGCCATCTCTTTGCCATGCCTTGCCTTGCCTCGCCTTGCCCCTCTAGCCTGCCTGAGCTCCCTCCTCTGTCTAGGTATCCGTACGCGCGCGATGGGTTCTGGACAACAATCTGTGACGAAAGGTGCTGGCCGGTGACCAGACAGGGAACTCTGTCGCTTGCATGGCGTCTTCTCCAGTCCTCTCCGATTCCCTGCTCTCTCTCCACTACCTTACCACTGCGGATACTTGCCATCGTTGCTGGTATTTGCTCTTCGCCATCGTACGTCGTGTCGTGTGTCTACTACTATGCCAGATACAATGGTGAGAACGACATAGGTAAGGTAGGGTAGTCACTTTGCAGCGATGCTGGGTGTTCTATTCGTAGTATGCTACGGGTACATGCTTGGTAAAGCACCTTGGTGCCAGAGCGAAAAAGCAGAGGGAATAAAAAGGTACGTACCTCGGTCACCCTTACCACCCAGACACTTTGCCAGGTGAACCTCAGACAGAAGGCGACAGAAAGGGTGGACGAGGCATGGAAGGTACGTATTTCAGTACCAGCCGCAGAGGAGGTGTAAGGCAAGGTGTAAGGTACCTCGTGCCGCATGCTTCTCTCCTGCGGTACCTTGGCCACTAGCATCCCAGGGAATGGGAGGAAGGACCCCTGCCCTGGTCGCCCTTCGCCCTCAGCCAGCGACTGATCCTGGGGACCCTCCCACCACCCGTTGGCCTTGACCAGCATCTCCAGGCCAAACCCAGCCCGTCCATGTTCGACGAGGGCAACTGACTGGGCGACCGACGACCTTTCACTCCAGTCGCTTGCGTGCAGGCCTTCGGCCCTCTAGGTACCACCCACCCCCAGTCTCCTTCGTTCCCATTCCAGTTGGCTCATTCCCAACTCTCTCGAACCCTTCCCGTCCACCATTCACCTCAACTTTCGACCACTTCACGTCTCTCTTCCACCATTTTCCCTTCTTTTCACTCCAATCCAACCACCACCCCCCTCTTCTCTTGTTCCCTACCTCTCCTCTTCTGAGATTCTACTCTGGCCTTTTTCAAAGCAAGAACGCTGCAGTATCTTTCTTCCTTCAACTACCTTTGCCCGCCTGGCCATACCATGCATCCGTATTGACCGGACCGTGCCACATCTCTTCCCACCAACAGCATGTGCTAACCCCGAGCCGCCGTTTTCGTCGAGACCACTAGCCATTCTTTTCTCTCTTCCCCATTCTCTTCCATCACCAACAACTTACTACTCTTCTTCCCCTTCGTCCTCCTCTACCCTCTTCCTACCTGACGACCACGACGACGCCTCTACTACTCTTGTCCAAAACCCACAAGGCCCCCCGCCGCATACGAACACTCTTCGTCGACTGATCTATTCCTGTCGCGAGACTGGTCACCTGCCCTGCGCACCCTTCGGCAGCGCCCCGAGTACGAGGAGGAAAGAGAACAGAGAGGATTCGGTCCTGCCGAGAGATTTGGACCACCAACCCGCCGACGACAAGGACTAAAGCATCCACGGGATTCAGCAGCGCTGTCCTCCGATCTACAACCAATCGCCCGCCCACCGGGTTTTCCCTTCCGTTCTTCCAACATCAATCGCGACTCCCGCTCCCTCCACACCAAACGCCGCAACCATTTCTTTAATCATTACGCCAACATTGCCCCTCGCGGCCTATTCAGTCTCGCCCCCCGAGACTGCCGCCAACACGTTTCCCTCGCGCAAGAGAAGAGAAAGAGAGAAGGGATTCGGGCAACCCATTCAAAAGGTACACAGAACCATGCCTTCCGCCGCGGCAAGAAGGATCTACGAGGATCAAATACCCTCTTTCATGTCAGTCTTCGACCTCGACGCAGAGACAATCGCCGCCCAAGAAACCGTAACGCTCGTCGACCCCAAATTGATTGAAATGGAGGCCACTGGGAAACCCTTGGCCAACCCGGTCCAGTCCTTGCGACCGACCATGGATCACTCCCACAAGCACCATGATAGTACCTCTACTCAGGCGTCTGAGTCTGCCGAATCCTCGCCCACGACGACCCTTTCAACAAGCGATTGCTCCCCGCTGTCGGACCCGTCCCCTTCATCATCCCCGGATTCTCCCGTCAACTTGATACCCCTCAATTCTTTTCCGGCCACCTCCTTTGGCGGTCTTGGCCCGTTGTCTTCGATGAACACCCTCTCAGCCACAGAAACCACTAGCTTCGGTCGTCCGATGACGTCTCCTTCGCCGCGCCGCCCCAAGAACATGAAGGGACTGTCCATTCAGCCGCCGTTCATGGGGAACAGTGCCTCAACACTGGTTTCCGAGCCCGCATCCCCCTCTTTTATTAAGCCCACAATTCCAGCAATGAAGCGCAAGCCCAGTCAGCTCAGCCTCAAGACGCAGACGTCAGATCTGGTCATGCGAAACACCCTCGAAGTTCCCAGCACCCCTGGTATGGCACCTATTCTGCAGAGACGAGCTCTCAAGCACTCGACTTCATCCCCCCATATGCTACCCTCTCTGAAGTCTGCGACTTTTGGCCCCCCGGGTGGAATGACTTTCCCCAAGGTGTTGGAAAGGAACGAATCGGGCCTTTCAGAGTTTTTGAGGCCGACAAAGACTGGCATGGGCCAATCGTTCGACACCACAATCGTCGAAGAGGATTCCCCCATCAGGACTCAGCTCGCGAGCCGCGCCGCCCTCGACTTCGAACCGTACCACGAGAACGAGAACAATGAGGACCAGAAGACGCCGGGTTATCCGGATGGCCCCATTGCTATCTACGAAGACAATGTCTACCTTTACTTGGAGCCGACAGCAGATGAAGCCTCCAAATTTGACACCGTCATCAATGTTGCGCGGGAAGTCAACAATCCTTTCAATTTCTTGCCCAAGTCAGACGAGGTCATGTCGGATTCTCCAGTTGTCCTCAGCCCAATCCCCGATACAGCTGTGTCAAACGCCAGCTTTTCCACCGCCTTCGAGTTCCCGACTAACGACAAGTCGGAAACACCGACAACGCCCAAGGCCATGTCATTTTCAATTAAGCGCCCAGAGTACATCCACATGCCATGGGACCACAACACAGATATTGCGCAGGATCTGATGCATCTCTGCGAGACAATTGAGACACGGACGAAGGAGGGAAAGAAGGTTCTCGTCCATTGCCAGCAAGGCGCAAGTCGATCCGCCAGTCTCATTATTGCCTACGGCCTGTACCGCAATCCTGAGCTCAGCGTCAATGACGCTTACTACGCCGCCCAGGAAAAGAGCAAGTGGATCAGCCCTAACATGAAGCTCATGTACTGTTTGCAGGACTTCCAGAAGCAGATGTCTAAAAAGAAGACTTCGCCTGGATTTGCCTTCCGCCCGCGAACTGGACGCAGCCCCACGAAGCACCGCTTGACACTCTCTGCCGATGCGGCCATCGATATTGCACCCAAAGAGCCTCTGACGGCTCCTTTGCCAGGGGAGAAGGAGGGAAGCTCTGGTAGTGCGAGCCCCAAGAAGGGTAGCCCTACCCGCGCCAGGGGCCATTCGACACCCAGCAGCCAGCCAATCTCACCCGGACCGTCGTCAGCGCCATCGAGCTTCTCCTGGTCAGAAAAAGAAAACGACGATTCTGCCAAGTTTGGAAACTTTGATGTTGATCGCTTGATGCCGTTCAAGCCGACGCCGCCAGTTACGGGGCTTGCACCAATCTCATCATCATTCTGTGGCAAGCCGCCGCCGTCGCCTGGTCCACCCCCTTCGCCTGGATTTGGAGCCCATCGGTTTGGCCCTGCTGCTGGCTTTGGATTTTCCAGTTTGAATCTTGGTCCATCGCTGGAACGCCGAGAGGAAGTTGCACCCTCCAAGGATCGACACTTCATGGTTGGCGCGATTCCCGACGACGCGGCTCTCCTGTCCCCTCGAGCCGAGACGATGACGAAGAACCCGCTGCACAATACCAACCACGAATTTCCAGGCATGCGATTTGTCGAGGTTCCGCCAACTCCAAGCGAAGGTCTGTTCTCGCCTCGAGAAACAATGTTCCCTAGGGATCCCTTCTATCCCTTCGGACGCCCCACCCAAGTTGCCGACCCGCGCAGTCCGCCTACAAAAGGTGAAACGCCAATTTTGAGGTCTATTGACGAGCTGCTATGACCGCAGCCAGGACGGGAAACACCGCCACTAGCGACTAGCACCAAACGCCCCGGGACCGAACTACCTCGGCGCTACTTGGCCGATCTTTGACCATTGTTGCTGTTCACTGCGACATCAACTAGTCAAATACGCGTGCCCTGCGCAACAAAGCATTAACGCCGACTATCGACCCTCGTTGCGTTCAATACGAGGTTTACAGACTTCGGAGGCTGTGGGCGATTTTTGAAACATGCGCACGCCAAGCGAGCCAAGTGTTTCTTTCAATTCGTATGGAACGTTTACAAGGCATTTACAGGCGTTGCATCGTCCATGGCAAAGCACCAAAAACACAGAGATTCTGCGAAGCAAAGTTCGGCAGCAGGAAATCGCCAACGACCATAAGGAGGTGAATGGTTCCCAAACCACGCCGAACACCAGCTGAGCTCAATGGTACAGCCACCTTGAGCTGGCTTCTCTTTTGTCATTTTCGAGCCTTCTTTTCAGAGCGCAGCGAGTGGCGAAACAATGACGGGTTTCGCCACATCACCACTTTGCGGAAAAAAGTACCTTACAACCATAAACCAAAATGTGTAATCTAGAATTGCGTGCTCACAACGCAAGTACTGAAACGGAAAAGGTGGGAAACGACTTTCTCATCACTTGGACATGGACAGTCAAGGAAACAGGGGATCGGCCATCTTTCTTGCAATCGTTTACTTGGCACGCCCACGTTGGACGAGGGAGTTGGAAGGGATTTTGGCACAGGCTTTTCATCTCATGAGGCACTTTCCCTATGGGGGCCAGCTCACTTGGAAAGAGGGAACGGTCGTCAGGGACACTATCTCTCATCACAAAGACACCGTTATGCTATTTCTTGTGTCTGAGCTTGGGTTTTTCTTTTATTCTTTAACGCGGGTCCATCTACGGATGAGTCTGCCGCGACGCACATGGAGTCCAAAGGAAAGCAGGAGAGGCATCGGGAGAGGATGAGACGAGGATACCATAACTGCATGCATGGATGGGGTGGAGGATGAGCGAGGTAGATGACTTGTAAAAAAAACAAAGCGCCATACTTTGTATGCGTCAACAACGGATTGCTGCTCCTGCGTGAAGGTGATCAACCCTAGAACAATCAAGTGGCCGGATACTAGTTCAACTTCTCATCTTGCCTTGGTATAGGCAAAGAGGTGGACGAGTCTGTTGTTCGACATTGGACCAAACTTCACGCTACATCATCATTACACGTGAACTTGACCTGGACATACCTAGTAGCACTCCCTATGTGTACCTCACAGTCTATCTAGTGATATTCATCTGCTGCCTAGTTCCTGTTGGTGAAGGAACAAGCTTCTCGATATCGGATTCTCCCGGTGAGATGGTGTAGATAAAGGAGAGAGAAACCAATTGAAAAAAACATACACATACACACCAACAACCTCCAGCCTCAGAAAGGAGCAGAATCATCATGATGAAGACTTTGGGACTTGACAACCGGCCGAGGACGACAGAGCCAAAAAAAAAAAAAAAAAAGAAAAAAAAAATCGACTTGCAGAGTGAAAGACAGATGGGGATGGGGAAAGAAGGACGTTCCATATAAGAGTAGTTTCAGAATTTGGTGTATATTGTTCTGTGTATGTCAATATCTGTTTTGATCTATATGAGGGAAACGCCAACCAACGCCAGCCCAACTTGAAGGCTACTTTGTTCGTCTTTTTATACGGGGGTTGTATTTACGTCGTGAGACGTGTCCTTTCTTATTCGGGCCCCAAGAAAGGAAATGAGTGGCTTTGTGTCAAGGTGCCACCTGATTAACAGCAAATGTGTGGATATCTCAAGAAACAAAAGAGAAAAGAAGGGGGGGAGGGGGTTGAAAGGAAACAGAGTTTGAAGAATTTCAACATAGTACCAAAGGTGTGATGAAAAGAAGAATAGCACGTTGTTGTCCTAGTCAAGAGTCCTTCAAAATAAAGGAGCCATACAAAGTCAAGCAACTTCACTTTCAACGTCCCGAGCTTCCAAGGGGGCACTCAAAGACGGCGCCTCCCTTACTGCGTCTTCCCAGCAGCCGCCGCGCGCTTCGCAGCCTCCTTGGCCCTCTTCTCCTTGGTCGCGATCTGGGCCTCGGCGCCAATGGCACCAAAGACGAGGGAGACGCCGGCCCACTGCATGCCCGTGAGGCTGTGACCAAAGGCGAAGACGGAGAGGGCCATGGTGACCATCTTGCGGGTGACGGTGACGGTAACGAGGAGGACCGAGGAGAAGGTCGACAGGGTGTAGACTAGGAGAATCGCCGCGTTAGCTTATGGGATCGTTGACGCAAAAGAGCGTGTTTGGGGTGAGACACTGGGCTGTACGCGTTTTTGGGGGGTAGGGGGAAGAGAAAACATACAGATAAAGACCTGGCCGACGGCGCCGCACGCCGCAAAGCCCAGCACATCCCACCAAACGGCGGGGTACCGAGCCATGAATCCCAAGGCGGCCGTCAGCTCGCCCGCGCTGCCGGCGACGTCCATGCCGAGGTACTCGCCCAGGCCAGTGTGAACGAGCCAGGGGCTGAGCACGAGGTAGCCCAGCGTCACAGCCGTGCTCATGAGGTTGTTGGCGCACATCATCTGCGGTCCGGTATACCCCTTGAACGTCGTAAAGATGTAGTCCTGGGTGCTATTGGTGAGGCCGTCAAAGAGCAGGTTGATGCTCAGCAGGAGCATACCCCAGGGCATATTGGCGTCCGGGTTGACGACGGACTTCTTCTTCTTGCTGCCCGAGTGCAGCGTGAAGACGGCGACGCCGGCCGTGACGCCCGCGACGACGAGGTACTTGTACAGCGGGTAGCGCTTGCCGAACAGCGTGGTGTGGAGGAGCATGACGGGGACCAGCTTGCAGGACTTGGCCAGGAGGAAGGTGATGTAGTCAATGTGCGCCAGGGAGGCGTAGCCAAAGGGCGAGGCGAGGGAGGAGGTGACGGCGACGAGGGCGAGGGGCATGACGATGCCGCGCGAGGGGAAGACGGGCGGGAGGGAGGCGGCGTTGCGGGAGGAGAACCAGAGGTAGAGAAGGCCTGTCGTCGCGGCGAAGAGGGACTGGATCGTGTTGAGGAAGACGGGGTACTTGAAGACCTCGGGCTTGGACGTCGGCCCGTAGGGCGTCGTCGTGAGCTTCTCTTGGAGGTAGGCCCATGTCAGACTGCGCGACGAATGAGATGTGGTGTCAGCCAAAGCTTCGGGCGAGGATTTTCAAGGAGGAGAGGAGCGAAGACAGTCCAAAACGTACAAGGAGGCGTAGATACCGCCCACGGCAATCAAGATCTGAAGTGCGCCGGCCTCCTTGGCCTCAACAGGCACAGGCGCAGGTGTAGCAACCTTGCCGTTGGCCACCTTCGTAGTCACCGGCGTCACGGCTCCATTGCCGTGGCTGGGCGTCCGCTTGAGGGTGTCCGCTTTGCTAAAGTACTCGGAGGATGTCTGCCGACGGATGGGGGTGGCCTGCTTCGAGCGCGCCATTGTATCGCGATCTTTTTTTTGCTGAAATTCGATTCGCTCGATGAATGCGTAGTGTTGCGCAAGCTGGCGTCGATAGACGGGAAAAGAATGTTGGAGTGTTGCGCGACTCGATGCCGTTGAGCGCGAAACGGAGACGCGCAGCTATGGGGGAAAGGGAGGAGACGAAATACTGTAAGGGAGCGGCAGCGACTGGATGCGCGGCTTTCAACAATGCAAACTCAAAAGAAAAGGTGTAAGTTGAAGAGACAGAAGTACCACAAGACCCCAAGTTTGAGCACAGGAAGACAGAGAGACCAAGATGTGGACACGGAGACAAGCGAATGCAGACAGTAAACGTCAAAGAGCAGCTGGGCAAATGACAGGTTGGCTTCATCCCAAAATAAAAATAAGGTGGAGAGCTTACCCGTTGCATCTCCCCCGAACCACCACCCACGCTGCACCCGTTCCGCCCAAGCCTCTTCAGGGTCCCTCCCCTCCACTGCTTGTTTGCCGCCGCCCTAACCTTATCAGGAATCCGCCCAGCCCGGTGTCTCCTCTCCGGATCGGCATTACAAACAGGTCCCCAAAACCCCGCCTGACATTGGCCAATCACAATATGATCGCATCTTCATCCTGGAAGAGATTCGAGACCTGCCAACGGCTCAAACCCGAAAAATTCACTTGATTGAACTTCTTTAGAAAATGAACAACTCGGGCTATGGGAACCTGGGTCGATGAATCAAATCATACAGTGCTCATCTGTCACTCCCCGTTTTTCCATTTTCAACCATTAGACTACTGAAAAGTGAGCTTCGAATAACAGACTCTCCCACAGTCTACGGTTTCGACAATTTTCACAGCAAGTTTTAAGAACACAACGGCAACAAGACATGAATTTGTGAGCGGCCTTGCTCAAACGTGTTCATTTGCCTAGCTATGGGTCGGGTATACTATCTAGAATCCTCCTGGCATTGGATGTCAATACCAAGAGCGTAAGAAGTTCCATAGCCCAAAAAGCGGCTGAAGAACACAGGCCGCTGAGGATATCTTCGGTCCAGTTGGAAGTCGTGGGGATTGGGGATGAGTAAACAGGGTCGGGTGTAGAGTTGCTGGCCGATTTTCATTACTAATGTTTTTGAAGCAAGCAACTCTGCTTCAAAGAGGTATCCGCATGAGGTAATCATAAGTCGTGCCGTATGTTCGGTTTGGAAAGGCTGAATACAATCCCTGTCCGTAGACCTAGGGACCTCTGATGCCTGCCCAAACGTAGACCGGAGGACCATCCTCCCAAAAAGCAACTTAACGTGTTCGAGAAAACGGGAAAGTGAAAGTTGTTGTGGTCCCACCCCGGCGACCATTGTTGTGCGCACGTCTGGGGATCCTAGGCCCAGATATTCGAAAGTTGGAAAAAAGCAATTGAAAAAGTGTTTTGTCGCGTCCCAGAGATGATGTTTTGAAGTGTGACACTTCTCATCTCAGATAATGGGCCTTGCGGCCATTGTCTGCAAGTACCAGCACCTTAGGCCTGACGAACTGAAAAGGGACGATTCTGAAAACGCTTTTTACTCAGGAGAGTTAGCCGTCTGGCGGCGCATCTTCTCCGCCTCGAGGTTCTCATAGAGAAGGAAGAGAGCGGACTCGTTAGCCTTGGCAGTACCCATAATGGTGAACATGCGTTCGCCACTCTCGTCATGAGGAGCCTGGACAGGTCAGTTATCTTGGGCACGGACGTGTGTGGTAAGGAGGTGTCGTACCTTGGCAATGGAGATGCGGGCTCCAGAGGTCTTTCTGATCTCAGAGATCTTGCTGCCAGCACGGCCAATGATGCAACCAACCATGTCAGCAGGAATGCTGATGTTCTGGGTCTGAAGCTCCTCGCCATTCTCATCGTGAGTGGGAGGGCCGCGGGAGGCAGCGTCAGAGTCGGAGCGGCGGCCGTAGGGACGACCGCCACTGCCGCCACCACTACCACCGTTGTTGGTGGAGCTGAAGTCGGCACCGTTCCCAGTGCGCATAACGCGAGGAGTAGAGTACTCCGAGTTGCGACCGCCACCGGAAGAGTAGCTGGTCGAAGTGCCACCAATGGTGGAGGTTGTTCCTGGCTGGGTGCGCACAACCGGGTTGTAGAGGACAGTGCCAGTACCTCTCTGCCAATCATCAACCAGGCACTTACAAATCTCCCAGATGGCTCCCTTGATGCCTTCGGGAGTGCCTTGAACCTCGACAATGCGCTCGGTAGACTGAGGAAGCATCTCTTTCTGAGCGACCATACGGACGCCAGAGACATCCTGGATGTGCTTGATCTTCAAGCCTTGACGACCGATGATGGTGCCCATCTGGTTGTGAGAGATCAAGAGCTTGATAGCTGAGATTACAACGTTAGCGACATTCTCTTATGCGCACCACAAGAAACAAACTTACGATGAGTGCCGGTGTTGGAGACGACACCTCCCATACCCATAGCGGGAGCACCCTCAAGAAGAGCGCGAGCGACAATCGCGTAGGCCTCAGAAATGGCTTGGCAACCACCGGTGATAGTGAGAACACGGTCGTGAACACCCTGGACAACCTTGCTGACACCAGCCTTGACGCCAGTCTCGTCGCGAAGTTCGGCAACATTCTTGCCCGCCTTGCCAATGATGACACCGGCCTCCTTGGAAGAGACGATGGCTCTCAAAGTGAGCTGAGAGCCGGCGTACTCCTCATCGGTGCGAGGAGCAGGCTCTCCATCAGGGCCGAGACGGGTCTCTCCATCATCGAGCTTGAGTTGGTCAAGGGAGCCGACAAGGTCGTTGCCGTTGGAAGCGATGTTATCCTGGGTAGCAGACATCTTGAGTGATTCGAAAATGCGATTGGAGAGAGTGGTTTGGACGAGGAGTCTGAAAACAAGCCGTTAGTACTCGTTGCACATTAACCCAACATGACACAAAAATGGGTCAACGTTAGAAGTTCTGTGGCGGAAACAATCAGTGCAGGGCAAGGGAGGGTAAAGGTCCGCAATATTGCAGAAGTTGTGTTTTTCGACCCATCCCTAAGGACGGCCAAAATAAGAGGGCAAGCGCAATGATTTCCACACCAGTGGACGTCTTGTAGTCAATCGATAAGATTGCCCAGTGACATCCCACAAGACACCATGGCCATGAGCGTATCTCATCTCACCCATGGCCGCGGCCATGACACTGGAGATGGTGTCCGGTAGAAGAGCTCTTGCGGACAGAAAGTGGGGTGGGGGAGCACTGGTGGTGCGCGGGGTGGTTTTGTGTGGTGCTACTTACCTTGGTATTTTCCTGAACTTTTAAGCGGGAAGGCGCAGGCTTGAAGTGGTAACAGCCAATGTAGAAGTGTGAGATTTGTGGAAATTCAGCTGTCGAGCAATAAAGCAGGACGTTAGTGAATTGAAGCGGTAGAGTAGCAGCTGCAGTCTCTAGAGGTTGGTATGTTGGAATGCTTTGGTGCAGGTCGTTCGCGGCGGCGGATGTAGTTGCGCGGCGGCGGGGAGGATGTGGTGGATTGAAGTGGGTGGTGGATCGGGAAAGTTGGGAGATGGAGGGGTAGAGGTGTAGATGGGTGAGGTAGAAGAGCTCGGGTGGGAGAGCGGATGGGAGTTGGAGTGAAAGAGTTGAAGAGGCCGATGTGAGAGGAATTTTTGTGGAAGAGTTGGTGAGGTGAAGAGGTGAAGAAGAGGTGAAGAGTTGGGGGCCGGGAGAGAGAAGTGAGGTCGGTGGTTCGTGGAGAAGTGAGGTGAAGGAAAAGAAGAGTGGGAGTGGAAAATGGGAGGAGAAAAAGTCGGTAGGTAATTGTGACAGAGATGGGAGGGAAAGTGCGCCTCAGTATTTTTTTTTCCCTACTTCTCTTCTGGCTGGGCTGGGAAAAGCAAAGGTAAGGTAGAGGGTACTTACGATAATGTGAGGTGAAGGAGTAAGACAGGTGTACCCGGTCTGGCTGTTGAAGGTCTTAGGTGCTGGCCGTTTGGCTGTCCACCAGTGGTGCAAGTAAGTGGTGGTCGAGAATGGGCCCTGTAAGTGTGCAGGGGAAAGAATTGGGGGAGCTCGATGGTGGAAGAAGGGACTGTCTGTGAGGGGCTTGAGTGGGCGGGAAGACAGGGCAGGTACGAGAGTGAATAGAGGCAAGCCCGTCCAGACTCCAAGGCTGGCTACTCTTGACCCCACCCGGACGCAGCTGATCACGTGTACCTCTCAGGCGGAAGTTGGCCGTAGTAATACATCTCGCAACGCTAGGGCCATCGTCATGGCAAGTATCTTGCCCCTCCTGCACATGCTTCCCGAGCTGTATCTGGCCTGTACACCTTACTTTACCTTGGACGGGACCCCTCCACACGACATGGAGCTTACCCAGCACTTGGGCTCCTTCCTCCCGAGGGGCACTCTCATTCTCCCGTCCGGGCGGCGTTAAGAAACTGGAAACACATTTCATTGCGATTTCTTCCCTGGGACTCACGGATGCGACTTTGGACATGCGGCAAAGGCCTTGTGAGGTCGCGACTGGAGAAGGAGGAGACGAGACACCAAGCAGCTGCATCCAAGCTCTCCCCTTCAAAACCCCTCGACTGTCTCAATCTTCCGTCACCTACCTTGCCTTGCCTTACCGGCCACCACCGCTCCTACGATGACCGAGATCCTTCCCTCAGCACATGAGCGTGAAGATATCTATCTCTCCCTCTGCTCTCACACCATTTACACCTCATCGAGGGTGGGGTGCAAACTTTGGATCAGGGCCCTTACTTCAGGCGGCCTCTTGGAGTACATGTCAGTACCCTTATTGTAGCCCTCTGTCGGACTGACCCCCGTCAGGACATACGACAGGGAAGAAGCATTCCCGACCGTCTCGAATCGTCTTCCATTCCAGGGTTGGGTCTTCCAACGTAATGCGCATTGCTAGCCTACCCGGGATCTGGTGGTGCCTGACCCGGCCGCATCGGGGCTTTCGCTGGCGAGCATCCAGATCGAACAAGTGTCCAATCGAAGTTGCCATAGTTTGCCCAACTTGCGACACGCGACATGCGACCAGACGGCTCTTGTGGCCCTCAGTCATCTCGCTCGGATCACAATCGCATCTGCACCTCAATGACATATAGTTCCTCAGGGCTGTCGCAGGCTCCAGCCGCAGCGCATCAAGCGTCCCAAGCTCCAAGAGCTGACCAATTCTCCAACACCTCGGAACGCCCCGATCAACAAGGGAACTTTGCTGCTCCACCCGTCACCGCGCTACAGCGTGCGTCAACGGTGATCCAGCGCGGGTACAAACGATTTTGATTGCTTGGCTCCCCGCCATCTTTTCCTTATTGACACGCCGCGCGGGCGGCCGGTCAAGTTAGTGCGGCCAACAGTTTGGCGAAACGGTACAGATAGTTCCAGCCTCCCCCTCGTCCCGGTCTCAAAACGCCACTCGTCGCCTGTCAAAATGGCATGTCAGAAATCCCATGGGAGCCTGCGCCGTATTGACTCAGCGCACACAGAGCATCCGTACATAACACCGGTATACGGATATCCAGCAAGTTTTTTTCTTCTTTTTTTCTTTGGCTTTCCTGTCGCTAAAGGAGAACTCTTTGTAGTACGTAACTCGATGCCGCATCCTCCGCTGTCCGGACTACGCGGGAAAAGCAATCACGACAGATTCGCTTAAAGAGGAGAGCTGCAACGTGCCCTCACCCTGTGCCAGCCTCCCCGCTAAATCACCACACGATGCCGTCGCAAACATTTGACTAGTTCCCGGCCATCCGTCGCTGCTGGGACCCTAGCCCTCAGAACCGCGATACCAATGGGCAATATTCGAAGACTTTACGTCTTCAGCATTCCGGATTGGCTAACAGAGGCACCCTAATAGCGGGGTCAAGCGTGCCATCGACAAATTCACGAGCAACCCTTGCGTAGCATTTGCCTCGAGGTGGCCTGTTCACTGACCATTGTCCCTCCTCCTCTCATTTGATAAGCTTTGGCTCGGCGTTGATTAGATGGGATTCAATTTAGAGAGCTGGCTCATCAACGGAGCCGCTACAGAATTTCGGCCTGAATCCTATCCCGCAGCCCCTCGCGTGCAACCCTCGAGAGCCACTTCACTACTACCGCAAAGATAAATTCAACCTCTTGCGCCTTTGCAAATTTAGGCGTCGTTAAGCTCGAGTGCTCCGCCAAGTGATGATTCAACACCGGTTGACGTATTGCACGCGACCATTGCCGCGGCCGGGATACCCTGATGTCTGATAGGCGACACTGGCGGGAGACGCGCATAATGGCCAAAGAGACTTAGCAAGCGGTAGAACGTCTAAAGGGACGACGTGGAGACCGCGAGGTGAAAGATTTCCAAGTTCCTGCGGGTAACGATTTGCCCTGAAAGGAACCCAAGCAAGTTGATATTCACAACACTTCATCGCGTAGAAGACGTGTCTTGGCAGTTGGCGCCTGTTGAAGCGACGTGGCTGTGGGATCATGAAATGGTGACACTAACGTTATCTTTGGTTGCTTAAGCTGAATGCTCTTGACATTGAAAAGATGGCCGCCCGTTCCATGCAAATGAAGAACTCGAGGTATCATGTATGTGCAGCGCAGTATGTACAAGATGTGGACTAAATCCCGTCGGCCACTCCAATAACGTCTCTCTCCCTCTCTCTCTCTCTCTGTTTCTTCACCTCTGCCGCAACTTCTTCTCGTGCTCAACCCAAAAGTTCTTGCAGGCCCTGTGGCCCCAATGCTCAACCCACCATTCCCCAAAGCTGTCCTCGACCTCAAAGTCCACCTTGCTCACACGCTCATCCCGCTTCAGACCGCAGATCACGCACGGCTTGGGCGCCGTGGGCACGACCTTGGCCGTGGAGACGGGAATCGTCTCGTTGAGTTCGGGCACGCGGAGCTGGTCCCGCGGATTCTTGGCGGCGGCGCCGGCAGAATTGGCCGCCGCGACGGCGGACCGCAGCCTGCCGACGTGCTCCCTCCACACGCCCACCACGTCCGTCGCCTCGCGTTCCTCGCGCGCAGCCTGCGCCTTGTCAACGCCCGCAAGTTTCATGCCCTTTGCGCCTGCGGCGGAGATGGCCATGCCCTGAGACAAAAACTTGTCGCGGTGCCAGCGGAGCTTGCGACCGGCGATGACGCGAGCGGCAACAGTAGCGAGGAGGAGGTAGCCGCGGAGGAAGGTCACCGTGCTCGGGTCTTCGAGGATACGTTTCCTGATGGGGGCCGCCATTTGGGATGTGGGCTTGAAGAGTGAGGAGTTTGCAAGGTCGAGGAGCTGGGGGAAAATGGAGAGGATGACGGAGGGAGGGGGAATGTTGATGGGTGGCGGGGCGTCGTCCGGAATTTCTGAGAGTGGTGCTGGTGATGCTTCTTTCTTAGGTTTAGGGGCTTGTTTCTTGTCGTTTGTGGTGGTTTTTGGAGCCGGAGCTGGGGTTGATGACTTGACACCGTCGATTGCGTCCCAGTCCCAGCTCTCCGGGGGTCTCGACGAGTCAATCGCCGAGGGCTCGTCGTCGGGGAAGTCTTCAAAATCTGGCCAGTTTTCCTCCTCCTGCGTCTTCGGAAGGTTAGTGGTAGCGGTGGGCTTCTTGGCGACGGCGGCAGTGGACGGCTTCGTGGGCGAGGTCTGTCCGAAAGCCGGCCAGGCCGTGACGGGCGTGGGCGACTCAGGCTTCTTGTCCTTCTTGTCCTCCTTGAAATCGCCATAAGTCGGCGTGGTGAGGCCAAGTCCCGGAAAGGGGTTGCGTTCCTGGAAGGAGGGGGACTTGGGCGCCTGAGGATACGGTGAGGCGGGTGCGTTGAGGCTCAAGGAAGAAAGCTGAGGCTTCTTTGGCGGAGGCTGCGAAACGGGAAAGGGTTCGTCGGAGAGAGAGAGGAGGTCTATGGAAGGCGGCTGCTGCTGTGTGGGTTGCGGCGGCGGCTGTCGTTGAGTCGGCGGCCTTGAGTCTAGAGTCGGGCTCATGTTCGCGCCTGGGAAGGGGGTCTGAACAGTTTCGAAATCCCCAAATTCGTCATCATCGTCGTCGTCGTTACCCCCCTGAAGCTCGAATTCCTCCGCATCAAAGAGGATGTTGGGATCCGACTGTTTAGCCGGCTCCGGGCTCGGCTTCTTCTGAGACCCATACATCTGACTGGAGAATCCAGGGCTCGGCTGCGGCTTTGCAGAGGGCGTCTGGGATGAGAATCCTGGGCTGACTGGAGGCTTGGTGCCTGCAGCCTGCCACGACAATCCGGGGCTGGGTTGACGGTTTGTCTGCTGCCATGATGGCCCTGAGCTGGCCGCGGGTTGCTGGTTCGGTGACGGAAGGCCGGGACTGGGGATGGGCGACAGGCCCGAGCCATAGGGCATGTCGACAACGTTGATGAGGTTGTTAGTCATAAGATCAAACGTCGAGGCGCGCGCGATGCGGTTCCGAGGCGGCGGTGACGACCTCGCCTTGTTCGTCTGTGGGGGCATCACGAATGAGCGCTGGGTCGGCGTAGGTTCCGCAACCTCGAATTCACCCCAGCCGTCGTCGTCCTCAGCAATCTGCAGAGTCTGCTTCGGCTGCTGCTTCGCGGTCGACGAGGAGGTGAACCCCGATGAGAATGCGCCGAAATCACCCCATCCACCGCCGCTGCTGCTGCCGCCACCACCACCACTTGGCTGCTGCGGCTCAAAGTTGGGCCATGGTACGGTTTGCTGAACCGGAGCCGGAGCGGCCGTGGGCCTGCTGCTGACGTTATTGCTGGTAAAGGAGGCAAAGTCAAAGAGGTCCGTCGACGATGCCGTAACCTGCTGCGGGCGTTGCGGCTGTAACTGGCCCTGCTGGCCCCCCGTTTGGTTTTTTTGTGACGGAGGGCTTTGATAAAAGCTGTCGAGGTCCAAGAGATCGGCGCTCATTGCATCGGCTTCGTCACCTCTGGATACGCATGCTTTCTGACCCAAGCTGATATTGGGATGTGTCCTCACAGGACCCGAGGTCCGAGTGTGAGAGAGAAAAAAAGGAAAGCAACGGCGAGGGTTGAGAAGACGCTGACGTTGGACGGGTGACGATGGGGGAGACAAAGGACGAGAAGTCTAGATAGGGCCGACGGGATAGATGACCTCTGAAGATCAGGTTAATCAAATAGGGGATCGCCCGCTCGGCAAGACTGACTGGTCAATGGGGCTGAGAGACCAAGGGAGGTTCCACGGGGCCGGGATCGATTGGGCGGATGACCTGAGCTGAAGTGCCGGATTGGGGGGTTCACGGTGACAGAGGGCCTAAAATGCTTGGGAAGTTCCTTGCAGTGCGCCACAGCCACAGCTGCTGGTAGTACCTATGCGGGACGTCCCTGGCCAAGACGTCTACATTGTACGGCGAGTCCGTTCGCTAGGGACGGCAAAGATCGGACAGCTGCCCAGCCTTACAACATGGCATGCTCTTCCCTCGTCACATAGTATGGATAGTTGGTCTTGCTCTTAGATTGCTTCAACTTATAGGTATAGTCAACTCCATTGATTGTGGTGAAATCGATCACTATGTATACATGTCTTTTTTGGCTTCATTGCAGACTGTGATGGAAACCAGGAGCCAACAGCTTACTGCTGTTATACTTTGATATAGAAAACTTCCTATTTGACCAAGATTTCAAGGTTGTCGACCGAGCTGTTCATCATTCGGCAGTTGATTAAAAGGCGTCGCCAAGTCGATGTGACGAGAAGAAGACGCTCAACTCAAGCCCAAGCCCGATGCCTATGGGACGACCCTCCAGGCAGTTTGGGTGGCGCTGCCAAAAGTCGGCGCGGAGCTTAGACCACGCCGATTACGTGGGGGTCGGGCGCAGAAAACTCCAACTGAGCTCGTAAAATTTCATGACAAGGGGATGGAGTCTGTCGGTCTCCCATCAACAAGCTTCAGCTCCAATTTCGATTCCTTTGCGATCGCTGACCATGTCGTCGCGAACGCTGGCATCGCTATGCCCCAAATGTCATTTGACATTGCGACCGCAGCCCTTCCCTCGCCTGACGACTTCGCCATGGTTTACCCAAAGCGCCGGGTTGCGCTCACTGGCTAGGGGGAAGCCATCACGGATGGTCCTCTCAGACGATGTTGCACGACCCCGAAACCGAGACGCGAGGCCACCGCGACGACAAGTTGAAGGGCCTTTTGGTGGCATGAATCAGAAATTTGCGAGAGTTCCGGAAGGCCCAAGGCGCACGGCACGTCCACCCAACGCGAGGGATGCGAGGGATTCGAGGTACTCGAGAGGCTCTTCAACCAAGTTCGGCAAAGGCGATTCCCAGACCTCATCCGACCCGAGAAAGGCTTTGAAGATGCAGCGGTCTCTGGCAGGGGTCTCATACGGAAAGAGAAACGTTCTTAAGGATAAGATGCAAGAATACGAATCGTTCGACCAATTCAACCTCCTTCCCCTTATCAAGGATGGCATCAAGGACGACCTGCTACGAGGAATGGTGGACATCAAGCCAACGCCCGTCCAGAGACTTGCGATCCCGGCCATGTTGGGCCAGTCTAGCGCATTCAAGGTCAGGGGCGAGAAGAGGCAGGACTTCCTCCTTGCAGCCGAGACGGGTTCCGGCAAGACGCTGGCGTACATGCTGCCGGCTGTCAACGCCATGAAGATCGCCGAGCAAGCCAACCCTGAGATCCGGTCCTTCATGAAGCGTTTCAAGGAGGAGAGGGCCAGAGAGGAGAAGGCCAGAGAAAAGTCATCCAAGTCGAAGAAGATGTCTACCTTCGACGAGCCACACCCAACCATGGCTAGACCTCGCATAATCGTCCTGGTCCCTTCGGCAGAGCTCGTCGACCAGGTTGGAAAGGTGGCAAAAACGCTATCGCACGCTGTCAAGTTCAAGTCGGAGAAGCTCTCGGCCAGCCTCAATGCGCTGACGATCCAGCGCAACTTGTACTCGCCTCGTGGCGTCGACATGGTGATTACGACGCCTCACCTGCTGGCGTCGATTGCCGACTCCGACCCCAACATCCTCTCCCAGGTCACCCATCTCATCGTTGACGAGGCGGACTCGCTCTTTGACCGAAGCTTTGCCCCAGTTACCACGACCATCATCGACAGGGCGATGCCGTCGTTGAAACAATTCATCCTCTGCTCAGCAACAATCCCCAAGAGACTGGACAACTACCTCGCAAATAACTTCCCCGACATGACGCGAATTACAACGCCGAACCTTCATGCTATCCCCAGAAGGGTTCAACTCGGTGTAATCGATGTTGTCAAGGACCCTTACCGTAACAACAAAAATCTGGCCTGCGCCGATGCCATCTACACTATCGGCCGAGAAGCTTCCAAGCATGAAGGTCCCATTCAAGGTGAAATCGACGTCCGCCGAATCATGGTGTTTGTCAACGAGCGCGAGAAAACAACGGAGGTTGCAGAGTATCTTCAGTCCAAGGGCATCGATGCCATTGCTTTGAACCGAGACGCAGCCGAAAGTCGCCAGTCCGAGATGCTGAACGCATTCACTTCACCAGAGCCCTTGCGCTCTGTGTCATCGCCAGAGACCCCTGTATTAGGCAAGCGATCGCTGCCCAATACCAAGGTCATTGTTGCCACCGACTTGGCTTCCAGAGGTATTGATACGTTGGCTGTCCGCCACGTTATTCTTTACGATGTCCCACACACCACAATTGACTTCATCCACCGTCTGGGAAGAGCTGGTCGCATGGGGCGACGTGGAAGAGGTATTGTGCTCGTTGGCAAGGATGACAAGAAGGATGTCGTTGCCGAAGTCAAGGAGAGCATGTTCATGGGTCAAGCGCTCATTTAGTGAGTACCCAGAACAAGGATAACAAAAGCCACTGTATAACAAATATGTAAAACACCATGTATATTGAAAAGGATACAGTCGAGGTACGAGGATGGGATGATACACAGATAGCTAATGAAACAATTCCTACCAACCAACAGATCAAGCTTGCACCAGCAACACCCCCTTTGGAAGGCTTGGATAACGTTCGATAACGTCATGCAAACTTGACTGCTAATTACTGCTTGTTGACAGCCTCTCCAACGCAAAGTGTGGCTGGTGCTGTGGCGCCAGCTCTCTGCTCTCAATTTGGGAGTGGGTCGCGAACTGGGTCCGAGTTCGCGACGCGTCCCGCCTGCAGGCGTTTCCCTCCCACACCACATCAAAATATCACAGACCCTCCGCCGTCCCATCCCTATCTCAGCCTGACGCCCCGGCCTGAAATTGTACAAAATCCTTCACGTCAAATTATACAGTAACAAATAGCTGTTACTCAGGGCGTTTGGTAGATTCCCTCGACGACAATCCCCGCCATGCCACGACCCAAGCGAGCGCGTCGCGCACCAACCCAGCCGGTCGCAGCTGCAGCTGAAGTAAGATCGAGCCCCGCGCCCGCCTCGGGCAGCGACATCTACAGCCACAGCGATCGCGAACATTCTGTCATAAGGAAGGAGCTCGAACAGGGAGATGGAAGCGGAGACACATCTCTTTTCCAGGAAGGCCCGTCTACGCGTCTAAGCAGGAGTTCCAGCCTGCGCCAGAGGCAGGTGCTAGACAAGGCGGGTCACGCATGGGACGAGACCACGAGTAAGCTGGAGGACGCGGTCGAAACGGCGGCTTCCAAGGCAAAGACCTCCAGCGAACAGCAGAAATCGGATTCTTCGGTCGAGTTGGGACGGAAGACACGCGCGACGCCGGTTCAGCAGCGCAGAGACACGACGGGGTTGGATCTGGACGACGAGATGTTTACGGGGCTTGACACGACTCTCGGCGACGACGAAGATGATGCCGCTGCTCCTCCGAGTGCGCCGCGGTCCGAAGCCTCGACTTTCAGCGTCAGCCACTTTAGACGGAGGGGTCGCGCGCCGAGTATCAGTATCAACAAGGACGATGCGCCCATTAGACCAAGCAGTCGTGGGGTCGGTGGTACCCCGAGTATTAGCTCGACCTTCAACATTGGTCTGTTCAAACGCCGTCAAAGAGAACCAAGTATTCTGGGTACGGCACAGAAGGAACGTGCACAGCGGCCGATTGAGTTATCATCCGGATCCGAGTCCGATGAAGATGGTGAAGACTTTGAACCTGAGGCGGAGTCGACGCCTCTCCAGAATCGCCGCAGAACACAACCTCCTCCCGCGACTGAGCTCGAATCAGAGTCCCAGCAGGTTCTGGCGCCGGATTCTCAGCCCACAGAGAAGGATGCTGAGCCAACAAGCGCTAGCTCACGAAAGCGGAAGAGCATAGAAAGCCACGAGGCGACTGAGCGTCCGGGAAAGGCGTCACGGACTGAATCTGAGCCCGCGCCTGAGTTGGACGATGACGACGACAGCGACTCGGAGCTCTCTGAGCTGCCTTCTCCTGTTCTGACTCCCACACGGCCTTCCGCTTTCCCGAGGCCAGTCACCCCGAACCAAGATGACATCATGGCGCCTCCTGAAAGCAGCGACTCGGAAGATAATAACGAGGCGTGGCCCGACATCCGCACACTTGCAAAACAGCGCCGGCGCCAAGCGCCGGCCACACCTACGAGAGATGGCAACATCTCTGATGCCTCCTCACCGCCCTCTCTCACCCATTCGCCCAATTTCCCGGCGACAAGGAATAAGTCGAAGCAGAAGAAGCAGGTCAAGGCGCCCAAGGTCACGACCGCGGATTTGACAGGGCTGCTGCCGCGCAGACGCGCCAAGAAGAATCGAGATCCTTATGGTATGGATGACTCTGAGGATGAAGACGCGCACAATTCCGACACCGCCCAGGACGACGACGAGCTTTCCTACGCGGATACTAGGACTCGTTCTCGGCGGGCAAAGGCGACGCCGCTCAACCGCAGCACAGCCAATAGACCACCATCCCGCGGTGGTCGAGCAGCGGCAGCAGCGGGAAAGCCGAAAGCAACGCCGCCAAGTACTCGCGCCTCAACGCGCACTTACAGCCGCAGACTATCGGACAAGGAGAACGAGGGTGAGGGCGAGGGCGAGGGCGAAGGCGAAGACGAGACTGAGAGCGCCGAAGCAGAGGCAGGAGCGGAGCCCGAAGCGGGATTCGAGGGTGACAGCTTCGCTCCCATCCGAGACGACGTTCCCGAGAGCCAAGAGAGCAGCGATCCCGCGCGGAGTGCCGACGAGCTGAAGAAGGCAACGCGCAAGTTCAAGGAAGTTGATCGCTGGGAGCTTGAGTTTGAAGAAGTGACTGAGGGATCATCGCCTCAGCGAGATGCGCGGTGAGAGGAAACAGGAGGGCAAGATTGTCTTCAACATGGGTATTTGACTGGGTTACTAGCTTGGTGGAATAAAACGGATGGCACGGTGTTTCCAAGGGGAAGGACGGGAGTTTTTTGCGCATGTTTATTTCATGAAGCCGGCCAGAACTTGTACCGATGGGGTTGGGAGGTTTTCTTCGTGGCTTCGCTGATATTGAGCTTTGGCGTACACGCTGTGTTGTTGTCTTTGCTGAATAGCTGGCGTTGATGTCCGCTTGTCATCATTTTACAACTCTCCAAGAGGGACTATAGTCAATTGACAGCAACAGAGCTTGATTCATATTTCGCAAGAAGTAGAGTATGTTTCAACTCTGTTCATGATGGTGGTCATTGATTATCTCTCCAGGCACCGTGATGCCTACCTACGATGCCGTAAGACTTTTTGCCCTCTTTGTCCGAAACGCCTTTCCTTGACCTAAAACGCCAGCCAGCCCCCTCACGAGGGAGGAGGAATGGTCATATGAAGCAACACGCGAGGAGCTTAGAGTTCTGTCTCATTGGTCGAGGAATACGCTCTGTACTGTCTGCTCGACCGTCGGCAGCAGGTTGTAGAGCAAGTTTGGGTCCCGCAGCGCAATGACGATGTCATCCGGCAACCTTCCCTCCATAAACAGCGACTACACAAAGGGGTATTTCTGTTAGCATTTTCAAATTTCACATCGAGGTTGACTTCGTATTGCCTCTCATAGAAGAGAGAAAGAGAGAGAGAGAGAGAGAGAGAGAGCCACCAAAAAAAGGAAGGAATAAATAAAATAAAATAAAAAACTCACCCGCTTGACGCTGTCAAAGCTATCCTCCTTGGCCGTGTACTCCCGAATAACCTCGTCCGTCTCAAAATCGACGTACACCCTCGTATCCCGGATCCGCACGATAACATTGTCGAGCCGCATGAACAGCCTGCAAAGAAGCAGCATGCGCTTCTCGTGCACGCGGACCTTGACGCTGACGATGGAGATGCCGTTGTCGTCGAGCTCGCTCTCGAAGAGCACCACGTCGTCAAAGAAGAGGATCGGGTCGCGGCGTTTGAGAAGCTCGAGGGGGATCTGCCTCGTCGTCGTGTCTTCTAGCCTGTTCTTGTTCCCGTTCTCGCCCTCCTCCGCACCCGCACTGGCTGTAGGCTCCTTGAGGGTACCGCGATACTCGGTGGAGTAGGACCAGTCGTACGGCTTGACGACCTCCTTGATACCCGCGCTCGTCTTCTCGCGCGACGAGGACCAGTCCCGCGCATACGCGACCTGCAGCATCTTTTTATCCGTCTTGTCGACGGCGTCGAGCGCGTCATAGGCGTTGAAGGCGATGGACCAGCCCGTGGGGACGTGGGATACCGAGACCAGGTTGTCGCCAAAGATCATCTCGGGTACGGGGATGCCGAGGGAGGCCGTCATCTCGTCGATGGGACCGGCTTTGGAGATGGGGAGCTTGCGGGAGGCAACGCGGAAGTTGCGCTGTGTGTGGGTTGTCGTCGCGGCGGCTAGGCTGGAGGGGGTCGGGAAGGGCTCGTTTGGGTTGGTTATGTGATTCATCTTGGGCGAACTTGTCTCCAAGTTTTTTCTTTTCTGTGTGAATTTTATTGTTTCGGGTTGGTAAAATCTAAAGAGCGATCGCGCAGGCGGTGTTCGCAGTGAGGCAAGGTGATGAGGATCGCGAGAGGTGGAGGTTGGAATTGCAGCTCGGATCGGAGGTAAGGTTGCTGCTGACTTGCAGTTGGAGCTCTCATTCAGTTGGGGGAGAGAGAGGTGGTGATGGTGGGGTTGGCGGGGAACACCTAAGAGTCTCGGGACCCGGATCCCTGCTTGTCTCGGTGACGAGAGGGGACTCGACGTCACTTTGGCTGATTCACCGAATCACACAAAAACCGTGTGAGCACAACAGGCATTGAAACAGTGAAACGGGTCAGTACCCTAAGATGGATATCATTGTAACTAAACATAGGTTTTAAAGCTTCAACTTTCAGCATCTAGAGATACTTAGATGTAAGTTCGACCTATCAATCATGTTTTCTGCAGTCGTATGTCACTTTGGTCAATGACTTACCGATTGAATGGATTGTGCGGTACTTCAGGTATGATGAGAGACACGAATGTATAACGTATGTACCGCACCGCATTGAATGATTATACATATACAATTGAAATAGATACAAAAATTGGTTCCTTTGCGCTTGATAAGAATTCTCTTAATGTTGTCTTCTCCGTAGTGTGCATATATATAGCTATCGTACGTTAGCAAGGTGATGAGAATGGAGAAGCCATCTATCTCAGAAGGGTGCCTTGGGTTCCTCCGATGAGACAACAATGAACGTTTATGCTCTACTTGTATCCGTAATTCAACGAGTCTGCAGCGCTGTGGTACGCTTAAACTCCGTTCTCACCGTTGAAGCCGGGAATTGTGTAGCAGGCTGGAGGTGACGTTCCCGTATCGCGATCCATAATCCTAAGACTGACGCCGGTAATCAACACCTAGAAGCTTGCATTCGGCTTGTGTAAAGTCTAGCTGTCTCCTTATCATTCCAAATGAATAATTAGAGAGTGATGGGAGAACATAGGCTTGACATCTTTGACAACTCAAGTAGGATTACAAACTGCGTGGAAACCATTCCGACCATTAAGTCATATCCATCTATTCACTTAAATTCAAGACGTAAGCCCTACTACCGCTCATCTTCCGATCCAAACACTAGAAGTTGGGACTTGTGGAAATATGGTCTGTTCTTGCAAGAGCATCCTTCGCTGGAAGGACTGAATAGGTCGAAGTCGACCATAGCCGCAGATCAGCAGGGGCTGCTTGACGGACTCAAACGAGCCATGAGAATAGAGATAAATGAGCTAATTGGACGAGTCATGGTTTAAATAATTCTCCTCGAGTCTTAAATTTGACTTTTGAAACCCGATCTCACGGCAGTCATAGACCAGACGTATCTCCGGTAAGCCACCCTAGTGGTGTATCAAGACGCCCAGCCTTTAGATCAATTCGTTTACCCTTTTTATCATCGCAACCGATACCATTCGAATTCCAGCAGCATATTAAATTTCCCGAGGACTTTTACAAATGGCCTACTCGCACAAGCAGCACAGAGGTCGACGCCCAGCTCCGTCCCAACCGCGATTCAACAGCCACTTGCCATGGCGCCATGCTGCTCCCATCACGACAGCTGCTATAACAACAGCAAATGGAAGGACCATTAATACAGCGAGTGTCTCCGACCATCGTCCCTCGCCTTTAGCAATGTTCATCGAGAACGCCGCACGGACAGGGTGCAATGTGACCATGCCAGCCAAGTGCGACAGATGCGAGCGGGTCATTCAAGTTCCCGTGCCCCAGCAATGGCTTAGCAAGTTGGATGAATACCAAGGCCGATTCCCTGTGCGTTCAGGTCGCTCCCATCGATATTGGAGCGACTACGTAGGAGATATACCCCTCCGTATCTCCTTGCAGGTTTGCCCTGGTAACGAAGACGGCAGCTGTCTTGCAATGCGCACCCTCGAGGACACGAAGACTTGGTGGGAACTGAAGGAGCTACCGGGAACATTTGCAGCGGACCAGACATGGCTGCAACTTGGCCTCCCATCCGATGTGGGACTTTTAGCGGCTCCAGGCTGGCAAGAGAAACTCCAATCCGCAGTGGAGGATGCTTTCAGAGACGATCCTCCCCACCTCAGGTTGAACAACTCCTGGGTTATTTACTTCCACTGGCGATGTGCTTGGCATTTCTTTTGCCTGCGCAAAGGAGGTATGAGGCACGAGAACGCAAAGCTTCAAAGGATGTGGGGTAGTATTGAGGCGGACCTATTGCTCTGGCAATTCGGTATGCTCGAAGATGCAGATCTAGAGGCGCTGTACTGTACGAGTATCAAAAATCTCATGGGATTGATATCTTGTCGTTGGGACTACGGACTGACGATCCTCGAGATGTTCTTTGGGATCAGGCGGGATATTAACAAGGATCAGTTCAACCCCCTGAAGATGGCTGTCCAGCACGCTGATACGGCCATGAGAAAATACCTCTCGGCCTGCGTCAACAAGGCCGAAATGGAGCGGCACGTTCGACGGCGTGTTGCTTTCGCTGCGTTCAGGCACGTTGAGCAACACTTGCGCCGGTACGCCAACCCGCAGCAACTTGGGCTGTTCAACAGCCTGCGCAAGTGGCCATCTTTGCCCCTGGACGAGCTGCGCGAGGTATGCGTGGTTGAATACGACAAAGGCGTACTCCAGCAAGAAGTGCTTCAGAAAAAATGAGTCCAACGAGAGTGGCAACAAGTCTAATTGGCGATTGAGTCAAGTCCAATGAAACAGATCGGTATCAAACTCACTGCCGGAGTTGGCAAACACTAGACGATTCGGACTGACAGAAGTGCTCAACCATCCTTCTGGCGAGCTTGCAGCGACAACCACCAAAGCCTTCCAGATGGGTTTCTGTCGATCTGAATCACGCTTAAAGCCAAAACACTCAGAGCTTGGAAAGGCATCACCTATTCGAGCGAGCTACAGGTCGTGCTTCTGGGTTCCAGTAGAAAGTTCATGGAGAAGCTGCGGAAGGAACTTTCTCAAGGTGCAAGGGAATAACTGTCGTGAAGATGGCCTTGAGTTCACAGGGTACGAGTACAGAAGCTTAAGACCTTCATTGAGGAGCATAAGTCCAGATATCGATGTTGGACTACAGTCAGTGTTAGTTGGACGCAAAATTGATCAATGTTAGGTATGCACAGCCTAGTCTTGGTGGCTCACTTGCTTCTCTCTCTTGTTTACCTAGGCACCGTCCACTCTTCGTATTTTCTGTTCCCGATTTCTTGAAGCGATAGAGACACGAACATTTGCATTTTGGAGAGGTCGTCATTTGAGAGGGTTGAGAATCAACATGTTGAATCTTGAGCATTCATAAGTGAGGGAGGCTGAGTTTGGTGCCTCCAAAACAACCTGGCTCAACCAAGCCAGGTCTGGAGCCACGTGCACGACGTGAAACACGACAGAGCGAAACGAGTGAATAGCTTAGTTGGATCTTGGATGAAGTGGGAAATGTGTCCATGTCAGACCAAAGCTGACAGCGGCTAGCTAAGTTGAGGCGGTCGTCCAGGGAGAAAGATGGGAAGTGGGGGGGATCTGAAAGAGCGGGGCGGGTCGCTGCCCTGGCGCCGGCGCCGTCGTTCCCCTGGCAACCATCCTCACCCCCGTTGTTTAGCTTCCACATCTAGCTTGTCCATCGTTACCCGAGAACCTTTCTTATTATCCTAACAACCAACTCCAGGTTCCTTGATTCAAAAACTCTCCAGTGCACTTTTTTCTAACCAACAGGGAACATTCGACTTGATACATCTCCATCACCAAGGCAAAGCAAGATGGCGACCCGGACGTTGGAATCGCGCTTTGAGCGCATGTCGGTAAACGACGAGAATGAGCCTGTCGACGGCGGCAAGCTCTATTCCAAGACTCAGGTTGGTCTCGTCATGCAGGCGCATGCACACATACTCGCCGTCTGATATCATGGCTGACGGTTGTCCCCTAGACTTTGGTGAAGACATCACAGCTCTCCCAGAGCTCGAGCAGACCGAACCTCATCAAGGTTGCCCTCCAGTCCCAGAGCACCAACGCCGTCGCCTCGGTAACGCTGCCATCTCAAAACGTACAACGGCAGGCCAAGAATCCTGCATCGCCCGCCCGAAAGCCCCTGCCGTCCAGCTCCTCGAGAACGTCCGACGAGGTCGTCGAGGTCGAGCGCAAGTCCGGCGTCTCCATCGTCCTCGAACCCTCAATGCCCAAGGTTTTCCACCTGGGCATGTTTGAGATCGGCCGGCCCTTGGGCAAGGGCAAGTTCGGTCGCGTGTACCTCGCGAGGGAGCGCACGAGCGGCTTCATCTGCGCCCTCAAGGTCCTGCACAAGAACGAACTCCAACAGGGCCGCGTCGAGAAGCAGGTCCGCCGCGAGATCGAGATCCAGAGCAACCTGCGCCATCCAAACATCCTCCAGCTGTACGGCCACTTCCACGACAGCAAGCGTGTCTTCCTCATTCTTGAGTTCGCCGGCAAGGGCGAGCTGTATAAGCACCTGCGCAAGGAGAGCAGGTTCCCCGAGTGGAAGTCGGCGCAGTACATTGCTCAGATGGCCTCGGCGCTCCGCTACCTGCACCGCAAGCACGTCATCCACCGTGACATCAAGCCCGAGAACATTCTCATGGGCATACACGGCGAGATCAAGATTTCCGATTTCGGCTGGAGCGTCCATGCCCCCAACAACCGTCGCAACACGATGTGCGGTACCCTCGACTACCTCCCCCCGGAAATGATCAAGCCCGGTAGCTCGGACAACTACTACAACGAGAAGGTTGACCTCTGGAGTTTGGGCGTCCTGACGTACGAATTCCTTGTTGGCGAGGCACCATTCGAGGATACGCCCGTGATGACCCAGCGGAGGATAGCTCGGGCTGACATGACTGTACCGTCATTTGTCAGTCCCGAGGCGAAGGACCTGATCAAAAAGGTTAGGCGGCACGAGTCCAATTTTTTCTTGAAGAGCAAATGCTAACATCATCTTTAGTTGCTTGTTCTCGACCCCGAGAAGAGAATACCCCTGGAGCAGGTCCAAACCCACCCGTGGATCGTCAAACACTGTGTGAAGGGCGAGAGAGCCGCCAACCGAGAGAAGAGCTCCTAATTAACGACCTTTATGATTCATGCATACATACCATCAAGGCATAACGGCCCTTGTAGGATTAACGGCGTTTTCTTCTTTGCGGTATTCAGGCGGGCTCTGATCTACAGCTTGGGGTTTTTCGGGGGGTTAGGTGTTTCCAATTGCATGTACGGGAGTTGGGTTCTGAAAGTCCGTCGTTTTGAAAATATCAAGAAACCAAAGAGCATAGTCATCATCCAAGCATTTGCTATTTGCCGGTGTTGCTTCCATGAGAGGAAATAGTACATCAGTAAAGGGGGGTATTGTTACACACGCTCGTGCCCGAGCCCGATCCTGTCTCCGTCGTCCATCACCTGTAGACCTCGTCAAAGGGCCGCGTATCGCTAAAACAGGAATCCCAGACCTGGTTGACGACCTTGGTCGCCTGCACGTCATCCTTACACCTGGGTCGATTGAGGACGGACTGTATTGCGCGCTTCCGCACGCAGTCCTGAAACTGCTGAGACAGGCTCCAGTTGCCTCTCGTGAACGCCTCCCTTGTCCATCTGCACTCGCCGCTGAGTGTTGATGCCCGAATCTGTCATCCAGTCAGTCAATTTCCCCTTTTCCCCTTTCTTCTTGCTTGTGCTTGTGCTTGGGGCCAGCAAAGCGTCGGACATGGAAACTTTACCTCTGTACACGCCGCATGCTTCAAATCCAGATCCCCCATCCAATCCACCTTCCACCTCAGGTGATCCCACGCGTGCACCATCTCGTGCGATAGCGTGTCCTCTAGGTGCTTCCTGTCCCTCACCTCATTGGCGCAGATCATGATGCCGTGAGCGGGGCTGAAGCCGCCGGATTGGCGATGCACCTCGCCGTCCTCGGTCAGGCGGGCCGGGCACCGGCGGCACTGGATGTTGGACGCATCGAGGGTCCCGTTGAGGGCCGTGATCTTCTCGTTGAGGAATCGCACGGTCGGGGAGAAGGCGAGGAGCCAGTCACGATGCTCCTCGCAGCGCTTGCAGTCGCGCTCCTCGTTGGCGCGGTACCGAGCCTCACGGTAGTGGAAGGCGCCCTCAGCGGTCATCCGCCCTGTAAGGACATTGAAGTAATTCATCCACCATTTTGTCTGCGGGTCGAAGCCGGTGCGGGCGGGATCGTTGCGGAGCTCGCGCGGTGGTTGTTTCTGCTGTTGCGCGGGTGTCGTTGCTGCTGCTGCTGAGGGGGTTGTCGCTGTCGAGGGGGCTTCGGTGGTCAGTGCCGAGGCTTGTTTGTCATCGAGGATCGTCATTTTCGGCGGCGTCTGTGGATGATGGATCAATTGTGCTTCGAGAGTCGTCGCTGATTCTGGGCGTTCACTACCTGAGGATTGGGTGATGGTTGGCCAAGGCTTGAGGTCGTTGATGGAAGATCGGGAATTTTTGGTTGTTATCGATAAGTCCACTAACGGGACGGTGCTTACCTTAGGTAGGAACCTTACTTGAGGTACCTTGGACATGCAGCAAAGACATTCATCCGCAACAGTCCGACATCTCATCATTCCATGACCGAGAGACCGCCCTCATTCTATCACTAAACTTTCAGGGACACAATCAGTCTTCCAAAACGGTAGTCTAGGAATGTTGAACGAGATATTCGATCAAGCTCCCTAACTAGTCTTCTTGAAACCAGGCGTTGGTGTTTTTTGCAGTTTGTCGCTCAACACAGTCCGGGCTGAACGCCGACTTGCCAAAGGCGCGCCTTATACCCATGCGATAACAACCTCGTAACGACATGACCAGCGGTTCAGCTCTATCGAGCGTCTTTTTCAAGACATTATAGTATGCCAACAACGAGCCATGGACGGGCAGGGATGATGGCAACAACCCGTCAAGGCCAACGGTGAAGATGCCCGCCGGGTGTGCCACGGCCTCTGCCCCGGATTTTAGGGTGAGGACATTCGCCCAATCACAGACCTCTTTTCCAGCTAAACTACCGGGCGTTCTCCCGCACTTTTCTCTACACCGGACGATCCCGATATCGGGCCATAGTTTTTTTACCCTGTCCCATCAACGCCGGCCCAGTCATAGGTTCAGCACCGGGTAAAAGAAAGGGTACTCACACTCAACATATCGAAAGACACGACAAAAGGGCGCGGTAAACCGATCAGGGGCCTTCCACATAGATATCACCATATCAGATCTAGGCGGATCCATTTTTCGTCCCAAAATTAAATTCGAACAACCGGGCTGGCTCTGACTGCTGGCAATGGCGGAAGAGGGCGGTACTACGTGTAAGAACGGGATCCAGTTATTTTTCTCCCCTCCTACGTAATGCGCCTGGTGCCATTTCTTTAAACGTCTTCTAGTTTGGTCGTGCCGTTCCGTTCTCGACACTATTTACACTTATTGGTCAATGTTGTTCTCTGATCTTGGAAGAAAGGGCCGGACGAGATTAGTGAAATTTGTTGACTAACTTGGGATATCATTGCCTGCAGATATGAAGCACCGCGAGGGCCGGAAACCTCTGACGGTGGTGCTGAAGCTCGGTGAGTCTTTGGCGGGGGCTGTTTCTGAAATAGTGCATACTAATCATCCCACAGGCACCAGCTCTATCGTGGACGAGAAGACACATGAGCCCTTACTCTCCATTTTGAGTCTCATTGTTGAGACGGCCGTAAAGCTGAGGAAAGATGGCCATAGAGTGGTCATTGTCTCATCTGGCGCCATCGGCGTCGGTCTCCTTCGGATGGAGATGGACAGACGGCCAAAGCATTTGTCAACACTACAGGTAAATCCAGACTCATGGCCTGGGCCTCCGGGGTGCTCAAGCTGAATGATACTCGCAGGCGTTAGCAGCCATCGGTCAATGTAGACTCATCAGTCTATGGGACGATTTGTTCAGTCACTTCAGACAGCCCGTCGCCCAGATTCTGCTCACCAGGAACGACATTGCAGACGTAGGTCGAGATGTGGAAATAGACCACCAAGTACACCGCTGACACAATCGCAGCGAACACGGTATCTCAATGCCCAAAACACGTTCAACGAACTTCTCGACATGGGCGTCATCCCCATCGTCAACGAGAACGACACCCTAGCCGTCTCTGAAATCAAGTTTGGCGACAATGACACCCTCTCCGCCATCGCCGCCGGCATGGTCCATGCAGACATGCTATTCCTAATGACGGACGTGGACTGCCTCTACGACAAGAACCCCAGAACGCATCCCGACGCCCAGGCGATCGAGGTGGTTGAGGATATTTCAAGTATCCAAGCAGATGGTACGCCAGCAGCGACTCTCCCCCCTCCATGTAGTAGAAGGGGGTGGCCAGTCTCACGTAAACTTCAATCAAGCTAACCCGACTCGCGAACTCAAGTCTCAACAGCAGGCTCCGCTCTCGGCACCGGTGGCATGATGACCAAGATCGTCGCCGCGAGATTAGCAACCCAAGCAGGCGTGACGACCGTCATCACCCGCTCCTCCAACCCGGGCAACATCGTCAAGATCGTCCGCTACGTCCAAGCCCATCAGAAATTCTCATCCTCCTCCCCGCGCCTCGACGCCACTCATCCGGACGGCGACGACCTCGATCACCACGACCACACCGAAGACCCGCTAGCGCAGTCGACAGCCTCCCTCCACCTTGACCAGGCCGTCGAGAAGCCCCCGCTGCACACCCGTTTCCTCCCCTCCGCGGACCCCATCCGCGATCGCCACTTCTGGCTCATCCACGGCCTAAAGCCCCACGGCACTCTCTACATCGACGCCGGCGCCCACAGCGCCCTCCTCCGGAAGGCAGGCCTGTTGCCCGCGGGCGTGCTCGACGTCGAGGGCAACTTCGCGCAACAGGAGGCCGTCCGCCTCGTCGTCGTGGACCGCTTGCACGTGCCCAGCACCAACGGAAAGCTGTGGAGCGGCACACCGGTCGAGGTCGGCCGCGCGCTCGTCAACTACGCCGCGCCCGAAATCATGCGCATCAGGGGCCATCAGAGTTCCGACATTGGGGGCCTGCTGGGGTACGCTGACAGCGAGTACGTGGCAGAGAGGCAGCACATTCGCATCTTTAGCCGGGAGAGCCGTCCGGTGACGCCGAGCATCGAGAAGGCCAAGGAGCAAATCGTCGAGGAGGTGATTTCGGGTATCACAGGGTATGAGCAGAAGACATAGACGATGTAGTTCTAGTAGACGCTCCGTTATGATCTACTTTTCTCCGTACAAGAGCTATGCCCCCAATGACTGCGTATCCTTATTCCACGCTCCGCCCCGAGAACTCCATAACCGAGAAAACCGCTTCAAAAACCAGAATGCTTGCAATCTTTGACGCTGTCTGGGACAAGCCCGCCAAGTAACAATACCTTGATAAAATATCCATGTCTGATGGATTCACGCACATACATACCCTGCTCGAGCCCTACGTGATGAACACTTTTTTAAGCTTATCCATGGGGTAAATTTCGCCGGTTCGCAAATCCTTAACCTGGTCTGGTGGTAAGCCGGACTTTTTGGCGTAGTCCTCGAGGCGCTCCTTGCCATATGCCCGACTATTCGGCAACAGCAGCAGGTCATGCTCGACGTAACTCTTTGTGTGATGCGCGTAAGGAACGTTACGGGCAAGGTCATTGAGTTCTGTTGAGCATATTGGACAAACGGACTGCGTGCCTGCGGTAGCCGAGGCATTCGTAGCCGTGTTAGCGTCGGCGGCGACGTGCGATGAGTTCAGGGAGTGGCAGGCCGGGGTCTTGAGGGCCGAAAGGCCCGACGAGAGAGCGATGTGGAGGAGGGGATATGAAGGTAGAGCCAGGAGACTATTGTGGGTGCGGGTAAAGAGGTCGGCGAGCGTGTTCCAGCGCTCTGGGCTGTAGAGGTCTGAGTACACGGCGTTGGCGGCGTTCGGCGGATAGGCCAGTAGACCGAAGGCCTTACGAAGCTCGTCTGGATACGTCGCCTTGAAAGGAGCTAGATATTTCTTCGCGTGGGTGATGGCCTCCAGGAGCTTGGGCTGGGATTGGGTGCGGACGAGCTCGATATACTGCTGGAAGCGAAGCATGAATTCGAGGTTACTCTAATTGCACGAGGTCAGTTTGCATATCAAGCGCGAAAAGGTGGGTTGGGCACAGGGCGAGACGTACATCCATCTTGCGTAGCTCCTTTTTGTTATCCTGGCACCAAGCGAGTGCCTCGACGACACTTTTTCCCCTGAGTGATTCTTGAATGCGACTCATCTGAACAAAGGTCTCGACGTCGACCAAATCATCCATGTTACGCTCGGTAGTGAGTGCCTGGGCGCTTTCATTGTAGCCATGACGAAGCAGGTAATCGACAAGCAAGCGGTCGAGGCGGGCGCGACTCCAGGCCTCGTACTTGACGTCATCGACGGAGTGCATGCCGTAAAGGTCGCCGAGATGGGAGATGCGGGCACCGGACTGACGAGTAAGACGAGCCTCTTCCTCGGCGTGGGCTGTGAGTTTGCGCTTGACGCCGCGCATGCGAGCGATCATGATATCGAGGTTGTGGAGGACATCGTCGGGCGATGCACGGCTGTTCACCGACGCTGTGGCGGTCTCCTTGAGCAAGGTCTTGATAGCTGTAGACTCCTTCTCGACGGTGAAGTGGGCGGAACGGAAGTTCTTGCGGAGGAGCTCGTACGGGAGGCGGAGGAGGGGTTGGTCCTGTCAGTTGGAATGGAGGTTAGTGCTGGAATTGGAGAGCTAGCTTCATATGACGCAGCGACGTACGAGGAGGAGATGGTCTTGATGCTTGATTGTAGCGTGCTCGTGGTCGCCCATCTTGGCGACTGTCACGGATGTGTCAATGGACTGCCGGACCTCTTTTGAATTCTCGTCTCTGCGCAGGATAGAAGTTGAACGCTGATGTCGTTGGTGTGGCTCAAAGAGTAAATCAGAGGTCGTTGGAGGCTGGTAGTTGGGAGGTCGGAGCACAGATACACTGATGCGGCCGCTAACAGTACCTTAGTTGACGTTATACTGCCGAACGTGGCGAGACCGGAGTCTCTCCGCACCAGACCTGCCTTTTAGGAAGTTACGGATACGACGATTACTTTGCTTCAGGTACCTTATTCTCGAGTAACCTAGACATTGGTGTCTGAAAAAGTGGCTATGAAGCACTGTTCATCAGACCTCCTACTAAAATCCTGACCCTTTGAGGTCGGCATGCTTGTCTCAAACCTTCCGCCTTACCCTCTGAGGTAATCCCTATCCATCGAATGACGGATCCGACGCGAAGTGCTCCTCAGCACAGACTACACGTGTGGCTCAAGGTCGCTTACATAAAGACAGAGACCAAGTCCTTCATGTGAATTGAGTGTGAGCTCGGTCCAGCCACAACCCCGCCCATCCAGCACCCCCAACTCAAATCTCACTTCCTGCGAGCAGTATAGCAGGATCGATGTGAGAGCCTGGGAGAGAGGCAGCGCTGGGGGAACGGGGCAGAGCGTGGCTAGTAAGGCTCGAGACTACTTCGGAGCCAGTGTGTAGTATCTGTCGTGCTTGTTTTCAAAGTGGAATGTCTCACAGTCCATCAGTCAAGTGATTCATGTTGGCAGCCCACGGGAGCATCAGGTGATTGACGAGGCTCGGCATTTCTCGACACAGACTCGTAGGGATGGATGTACGGGGTAGCTGAGGCTAAGGTAGGAGGATAAGCCCGCATTTTCAGACCGGTCGAAGCTACCCCTGCTATGGTCTAGTCTTCCAGTCCATCGCTAACATGAAGAGGACGAGTTGCGCCGGCCAACAGCAAGGCAAGTCGATAACGAGCAACAAGGATCACTCACATCTCCCAGGCTGGCGCGCTGTCGCAGCAGGTGCCCCTCTACGGAATGGGGATTGGCTCGGGGCAATCGGGGAAGGAGGCACCCACAGGCAGTCTGATGCCAGGAGGGGTGGCTTCCCAGCCTCTGATTGGCTTTCGGCCCTTCTTGCCTCAGGAGTCAGGCGCAATTCCTCCCTCACCCTCAAGCGTATTTATCTCCAGCCTCACCCACTTTGCACGTGTTCACCCTCTTCCTCCGCCGCGTGACCTGAGCTTCCCGCCGTCGCATCCCCCAAACCGACACGCCCAACTCAACCGGTCCCCTTCAACCTATTACCGCCTCGGGAAAATATTAAGATAAACGCAAGCCTTCGCCCGAGCCACGGCAATCTTCAAGAATCGCGATTTTCGAAAAAAAATTCGACGCGTTTTCCTGCTCTTCGTCCTACTTTCCACCTCAACTACTTACAACCAACTACCTTACACGGGCTCCATCCAACGAGGCCCCCCCCCAGCAGCCGCCGCCGCGCGATATCACGAGTTTGATCACGCCGACAACACGTGAACTCCAGCAAAACCCGTGATCTGGCTCTCACCGCCCAGACCACGCCCAAAGCACATGATCCAAAGGTATGCGACCTGTCCCATTTTTCTGACGATCTTCCCGTCTGCCCTATCGTCTCTTGTTGCTATCACACTGCACTGCGACGGAAGCCTGCTTCCGTCGCACGATTGCTTTTTCCTAATTGCGCCATTTTTGGGGATGTTGCCTCGTTCAAGTGCATTTCGCGATACGTCTTCCAGCCACAATCAAGCGATTGCACTGGATAGATCCTCATCTTTCATGGCAACCGCATCGGCAACTCGCCAGACAGAATCACTTGTCTGGTAGAAAAGTTCTGCAATCCATACAAACGATACGCGGTTTCTCTCAGATGAGCGTGACGCCTGTTGGTTGAAAGGCGTCCGCTGTCATGACAATCTCAGGACTCACCTCCGGCAGCCATACAGCTGCGAGTTTGTCAATGTCCAACTTTTCCTGCCACAAACCTTCCACGACATTGGAGAGCAAGCGCTTGAAGATTTGCTTGTGAGAAGCGGTCGCTCCTTCCGGACACTACTCAGCTCCGGTGAACTTGCGTCCTGCCTCCCGTCCCGGCTGGCAGCGCATTAGACATTCACTCACTTGCCTCGACTCTTTCTTTCGCGACTTGCAATATTCGTCGCCAAGCTGCTATCTCATGTTTCTTGATGCTAACCAAACTCACTCAGTTCCCGGGTTCTTTCAGTTGATTTAACTTTGCGTCGACGACAAATTCGCGGCAACTGCATACCAAAGGCTTCGCATATTGACCACCCGTTGTTCTCACCTCTGGACCAACGATCTCTTCCAACCATTCTCCAACACAGCAACAATGGCCGACGTCATGACCGAGCATCCAGACTTGTCGGAGCTGGCTGGTTCCCCATCTCCTGGCCAGAAGCGAAAGCGCGACGACTTATCAGAGTCGATGAGTCCAGGTCAAGCTAAGCGCGTCAGTGCTGGACTTTCAGATGCCGACACTGCAGCCTTCATCGAGAATGCTGTTGAGGCTGCTCAAGTCGCTGCACACAACGGTGTCAGCGCCGCCGATTTCAGCGCCCTGCAACAAGCTGCGGCTGCTGAACATTCCGAGGCAGCTGATCCCGCCAATGCTTCTAGTACTGCTGCCGCTGCCCTTGGATCGATGTATCCTACCCTCCATGTTCCTCCTACCACCGAAGAGCAGTTCGCCGCACAGACAAGCAACGACCCTACCCACGGTCAAGACCATGGCTTCAGTCATGCAGACCTGAGCCCGCCGGACGGGCTACCCGGCCTTCCCACCGTTCCCCAACCCACAAATGGCCTCCAGGCTGTGCAAACTCAGCAATCTCACCAGCCCCACCAGCAGCATCAGCCTCCCCCGCCGCAGCACCGTTACTCATCTGGATCAGCTGGCACTCCCGCTAAGAAACCGGATGTTGGCTCAGAAGAATGGCACAAGATGCGTAAAGACAACCACAAAGAGGGTAAGCACTGTTGACGTCAAGGTTAATCCACCTGTAGGCTGACCCAAACACAGTTGAGCGTCGTCGTCGTGAAACCATCAACGAAGGCATCAATGAGTTGGCCAAGATTGTGCCCAACTGCGAGAAGAACAAAGGCTCAATTCTTCAGCGTGCTGTAACTTTCATCAACCAACTCAAAGAGAATGAGACACAAAACATTGAGAAGTGGACTCTTGAGAAGCTGCTCACGGAGCAAGCTATAGCAGAGCTCAGTGCCTCCAATGACAAGCTGAAGCAAGAGTGCGAACGTCTCTACAAGGAACTAGAGACTTGGAAACGAGTTGCTCAGAACGCGGGTCTCTCATACCCTCAGGCAAACAAGGAGGAACCGGCGGGTACGACCTAGAAGGTCTCGGCTCAAGACCAGAACCCTTACCCCGTGGCAAGCGTGGGAGCAGCGTTGCCTCCCCACCACCTTCCCATCGACCAGACGAACCATCAGCATGGTACTCCTCAGTACCAACCCTCCGCCTCTTACGATCCCCCTTGTCGACAACGTGTGATTGTCCCCTGTACGATTGCCCCCCGGGTGGTTGCTCCCCGTGCGGTTGTTCCTCCGATTCCTCTTGGAATGGCCCCCGGAATGGCTCCGGCGAATGCTCCCAGCAGCTCCCCGTCGTGCCAGGACTCTGGATTGATCGCGCCGGTGCCACAGCGCATGGTTCAGAACCAGGCCCTGGATTTCATGCGAGACGGCCCTACTTTCTCCATTTCACCTTATACCCCCAGCCAGCAGTAAGCTGCTTTTCTGTTGTTTTCTCCGATTATAAAGGTCGGTGGCCGTGGTAGACAGGCTACATCATAATCAATCTTGCTCTCTAACTGTCATGTTTTCTCACGCGTATATAGTTTGGTCACAGCGTTGAACAAGACTTTACGCTGTGCTTGTAGGATTTGGGTGTTCATAACAGAGGCATTACATGGGCCACCGAGCTTTTCAGCGTTAGGGCACTAATAAGACGCCGGCTCTAGCCATGTGCAAAGATGAAGTTCCGTCTCGTGGCAATATGTGATGTCTGATGTCTTTGCTGGTCAAGTCAAGTAAAGTAGAGCAACATACTACCCGAGACAGCCAATTGACTACTGAGACCGGCTCTCGAAGGGAACGCCGCCACGTTCCGATGTCTAAGCACATTTATTCGATTTCTTGGTGGCTGGACCCATACCTAGCATGGGAGCTGAGTCCTCGGAAGAATGGCTTATTCCTTGGAAATTGAAAGCTACAGCGTCTGGGTTCAGACAGTTCCATCATGGACCTACGGATACTTTCAATCCCTTTGACTGACCTGTAGAAAAATAGAGCGAAATGAAAAAACCTCACTTGCTTGATTTTCAAGATACGTTGAGAGACAGACAAATAGAATACGATTTGGTCGTGTTGTGGGTGCGCTATGAGTGTCTGTTCTCTTCCTCCCTTAAGGTAGTTTCGAGGGCCCAGATCAGGGAAGGCTTGACGCGGGACTGTAAGGCCCCAGGTAGTAACCGTTCATCGGACAGAGACGACATTGTAACGCGGAGTGCGCGAGTCGGTCTGGTACGACCTTGAGAACATGGTAGGTGATTCTATCAAGCCTTTTCTTATCACCCAAGCATTGCTAAGGCATGTTCATGAAGCAGGCAGTGAAGAAGTGAAGACGCAGCTGGGTTTAATTAGCTAGAAAAGCTAGTTCAGGTAAACGTAGACAGACTGACATTTGCTGATCCTAGGTAGATTTTTCTCACTCTCGCGTGAGGAAACCTCCAACATAGTCGGGGTTGATCAAGAAGGCAGAGACGGGGGCGGCCATTGCATCCACTGTACAAACCAGGGCTATCGACAAGGTTGGAACGAGGTAGCAAGAGTGCAAACTGGTCTGTCCTCTACTCGTCGCAGGGCCAAATTGGAACGCCTTTGTGGTGCTTTTGCTTAGCCGCAGGAACATAGGGGACGTTGCAATTTACGCCTGCATTGGTATCCAGATCCCGTCGGTTAGCTTGGGATGTCGTTGAAGATGTGATTGGACTGTCCCCTTCCTGCCGTTCCGCAGGCTGTAGATCACTAGCACGAGCTGCCGTCGTTCAGGGATACACACCATATGTCACCATTATTAGCTGCAACCAGAAATTGGTAAGCCCAGTGCTTAACCTGCGTCAAGTCGTCTCATCAGTGCCGGGTTTAACGTTTTCAAACGGGCGTTTGCATGTAGACAAATCACGACCGTACGGCAGGATCACCTCCCTCGGCCGGAAGGGAACGAACGCAAGGATTCGATATCAAGGCCACGTCTGCATTGAACTCGCCCTTCTTATATGCAGTGAAACCACCCTCTCAGTCTTTTCCTCGTTTGCAATCCGCCCGCAGCCGGGGAACCGGAGACCTCGACCCTCCCGACAAAAGCACCAGTCCCGGGCTGGTAGTCCGACTCCGCGTGGCAGGGTGACGGTATGGCTCGGCGCGGGGAGGCGCGGGGAGGAGGGACAAAGCTCCCCGCGGATGGGCGTGCATCGTGCATGACGCAACCGCGCGTTTCCCGGCCGTAGCGGGGGTGGGGGGAGAAGGGAGGAACTAGCACCCGCTGCCGTCCGTCCGGATGCCGGATCCGGGTTCAGGGGTTGTGTGGTCGACGTAGCCAAGATTTCCCAACGTCCGCGCGGTATGCCCGTGAGGATGCAGTTTGCTTCGGAAGGAGAGACGCGGGAGAAAGGGGAGGGTGGGGTGAAGAGCGAACGCGCACTGCTCGGGAAGATCACTAAAGGGGGCTTTCTGTGATGGCGGCGGAAGCGTTGACGAGCTTTGCGTGGGAAACTCGGCAGTCGACATAAGACAGGCTTAGACACAAGCTGCCCACCACATAAAACTTCCCGTTTCGATGAGATAGGAATAGAAACTGGTGTAATAGTAATACCCCATTTAGCTTCCTCCATCTTTGAGCAACTCTCATCTTCAACAGAAACCTGGGATAAGTCTACAAGCTAGCAACGTAGACCAGTTCCATCAATGCAGAGGCCATCAATATATCACGCACGCACCATGTGCTCCCACAGAAAGTTTCCGGGGCGCGAAAAAAAAAACTAAAAAAACTCAAAATCAGACGAGAACAGTATTTCTATTTGCCAACGAACCTCCTTCCCGCTTGCTACGACAACATCCCACTGGCATTCTGCACGTCAAGCTTCTAGGCGGAAAACTCTATGTGCACATGTACTAACTATCTTTGTATGTGTTTGTTTGTGTGGTAGGTGCTCTGGGGCACCTATACCTCAATTCTCTCCTTCGAACCCTTGGACTCGGAAACACACTTCGTCCTTACCTCCCTCAGCCCTGCTGTCTGTCACCTCTCTCAAATTTTTTTTTCTAGACTTCAGACTAAGCTGGTGTGTGTGGAGAGGAGAGAGGGACGAGATGAAGAAGAAGGAGGGGGGGCGTGCGAGCATATTCACTCGGGCCATGAGGTGTATGTACAAATAGAGAGAGGGAAAAAAGGTTTCCGTAGCGATTTACTCTGCAGCGGGAAGCCAAAATCCTCGGGCCGGGCCAGTAGCTCCGTCTCTCTCTCAAATCAAATCAACAGGGAATCCCGCGAGCAGAATGAGGGAAGAAAAAGAAGGATAGAAAGCATGACACAGGTCATTTGTCAGGAGTCAGGGGGGGGTTTTGAAGGGGGGGATAAAACAATCGAACGCTGATGGGGGTTGCAGAATGGGATGGAGGGGCGTGCGATGATGGTCATGATGGTGACGATGTACATTCTTAATCCATGAAATAAGGTTGAGGCGGGAAGAACGGGGGGGAGTGAAAAGAGGCAATAGACACCGCGAGTGGGAGAGAGAGAGAGCGTGGATCAAACCGGTCAACAAACAAAACCTTGGAATAAGCTCTTGGGGTGTGGTACACACAGGCCGGTGACTGGCCGCCCGGCGACTCCACATCTTGACCGGTCAGCGGGGCACCGGTGACCGGGGTGCCATTTTTATTTTCCCTCCCTCTCTCGAACCTGACTTCTCTTGTGCGCTGGCCCGTTCCCGTAAATTTTGGACCGGCTTCAACTCTCCAGCATTTCACACCCTCGCGTCCCCCCACCCCACCCCCCTCTCCTCCCCCACCCCCCCCGCCCCCCCACACCCACCGCGCGCAACCCTCTCTCTACTCACACCATATGAACCCCACACAGTCCCGCCGGGCGCCGCGACGGCGCCCACCCTCGCCCACCCCCCCCCCCCTTTTTCTCTCTTCCTTGCCTACCACACCCGAAATAAGCGTTCAATCACATTTGACATGTCAAAAACTGGATCCTAATTACCGGGATCCGAGGAAGAGTAGCTCTACAGATACAAAATACCAAATCTACCCTTGCACCTAGTCATGTTCACCAGTTTCGATTTACCTTGGCGTCCGTTGTCTGTCAGATTTGCTGTCAAGACTATGCAAGCCCTAAGTCAATCCTCCACTCTCCTCCACTCTCCTCCCCGCCCCCCCCCCCCCCCCCCCCCCTCCCTCCACCCCCCCCCCCCCCCCCCCCCCCCCCCCCCCCCCCCCCCCCCCCCCCCCCCCCCCCACCCTCTCCCCCCCCCCCCCCCCCCCCCCCCCCCCCCCCCCCCCCCCCCCCCCCCCCACCTCCCTCCCCCCCCCCCCCCCCCCCCCCCCCCCCCCCCCCCCTCCTCCCCCCCGTTTGACATCTTCATTGACAGTTCTCTCACCCCCTACCCTTGCCATGCCCATGGACCCCTAAAAAAAATTCTCTCACTGTGAGAGCTATCTCTCAAGGGACAAAACGACATACGACGAGGCTAGCCACGAATTGGAAAGCTGCCGATTGGCATGCCTGGTGGCGGTGGTGTCGACCCAACATGTCTACTGCATTTCACGTTCCGTTTGACAGGGTTCAGCTCCCAAGCTCTCCCTCTGCCTCATTTTTTGAGAACATGCCAGGTTCAAACTAAAATCACGCACTAACCCCCTTAGATGGTTCCCGGCTGAAGAGCCTCATTGACGTTGGAATTCGATGAGGCTGACTGACCTAGCTGAGACAACCCAGCCGGCGCTAAGAGAACAGAGGAACGGAAGATGTTGACTACCTAATCTCAACGACATCTAGTACCTCACTAGTGCATTGCGAATGAGGAAGGTCTTGGGCAAACTGCCGTTCCATTACTGACTATCTATAGTTGGGCAACATTGTCAAGACTGAAAGTCAAGATAACCAACCCCATAGGTCGCTCAGACAGCCCTTGCTCGTCCCCTGACAGACTTTCAGAACATAACAGGGATAAATAAATAAAACTCCCGTCGTCACATCATATCAATTCTTACTTTGCCCCTTTGGTCAGCCATTGATAGCATTTTCTTTTCTGACACCCTTTTCTCCGCCTCCTTTGCAGCCGTTTCCACGATTTTCAATAACTCCCACCTCTTCTTCCAAGCGCCTCCTCTGGGATGAAATTCGACCAAACCAAAAGCACAAAAAAAAAAAAAAAGGGCCGAGGCCAGCAACAACACGAGAGTAGAGTGAAAAAGGGTAAGGACACAAGTCGTCCTTCCTGTGGCAGAGGCATCCCCCCCTCCGAGTGAACCAATCCGTATATGCTGATGCTCGGGGTTAATAAGAAGCTGAAGTAGGGAGGTAAAGAGACGTTGGACAAAGGAAAACGTGTCTCTCATGACAGCGTAAATGCCGTGACACGAGTATCGGAAAGCCACCGGGAAGATTGTAAAAAACCCTAGCCTCGACCTCGTTGTAAACCAGAAACAAAAACTCCAGCAAATCAGCACGCTTCATCGCTCTATTAGACGCGACCTTGGCCTGTCGTCGTCGTCGTCGTCGTCGTCGTCGAAATGACAAATGTTCCCGCCCTCCACATGGCTTTGCTTCAGCCTTTGCTAATTTGATCTGAAGACTGCTGTCGCCGGCTGCTGCGCTCCGAAATGCTTCCGTTGTCAAGTGATTGCTTTTTGACCCGCAGATGATGATACGAAGATAGAATTGCCGCTCCCAAGGGAAGTAAAAAATAATGGCCTTGCCGATTAAAGACCTTGAAAGCACTAGTCGCACCGTCGTTGAGTTTCTCGCTCTGATGTTCCGATGTACCTAACCTTGATGACATTGAGATTGTAATGGCTGGATAGGTCGCGCCAATGAGTGAATGCTGTGGTGGCTTGCCTTGGAAAGCCCGGTGGTCGTCAAGTCCAGGAAATACGTCCGAATCCCTGGAAAGCGCCTGGCCTGCTCGAAGATTGTGTAGGCTGTCGATTTATTGTCGTCACGCTGTCCTGTTGCTTCCAGCCCCTGTTGACATGCCAAAGACGTCATGATGCCTCGCTCTCATCAAAACATCTCAAAGGTCCACTGCGTCTCGTATCAATGCATCTGCCCTCTTGTGAGTGCTTCGGGTTTCCCGCCAGACCCAGGCATTCCGCGTGTATCGGTAGGTAGGTAACCTGGGAACCCCTGAGAGTTCTGAACCGGCGTTTGGTTGGCGCTTACAGGCCGGAAAACCTGATCGAACCCGCCCCGTGACATATTATCATACGGCGTGGGAATATACTGATTTTGGTTGAGTGGCACACTAGGGTTCGCAAAGTGTCCTTGTCCTTGTCCGGTTTGCTGCGGTGTGAACGAGTAGACGGGAGCGCCACCAGGAGCAGCTGAGCCCCCTTGCCATGGCTGTGTATACATTCCGGCGTTGGTAGTAGTAGAGTATTCCGTGGGTGAGGTGTACAAGGAGGCGCGGCGGTGCGGATCGTGTGTCGTTGGTACCAGATCCTGAAGTGGCATGCCAGGCGGGTGGATGCTACTAGTTTCCACGAAATGGTGATCGGGATGGATGCTCGAGGACAGCATCTGAGTCGAATATTGCTGGCTGCGCATCGGCATCTCGCTCATGTAAGCGCCTCCATGCAACGGCCCTGTAGGGCTGTGATCGCCCGTCGAGTTGTGCAAGAGGTCATGCGGTGCTCCTGTCTTTGATGGCGATACGCTGGATGTGATGGATGGATGTTCGTCCTCTTCCTTGACAAAGCCATTGTCTTCGTTATCCGAGGGATAGTTCTCTGAAAACTTGTCCTCTGACATGACGAAAACCTGTGCATCCGCATCTAAAACCTGTCAGCAGCGGGCCTGTCGGCGTAGTAAAAAATGCGCTTACCAACTTCGCCGTTCTTGAATCTCTCCTCCATCTTGGCGACTTTGAAAATCTCGTCAAGATACGGCTTCTTCTTGGCGTTTGTCTTGTTCTCCTTGTCCGCAAAGAATGCTGACATGGCTTCCGTCGTGGCTTCTTCAAGCTTGAGGATGCTCAAGTTCATCTTGCGGATGGCTGGGTGCTGCTTCTCAGGTGGTTCCACGATCATTCGAAGGATGTGACACAGAAGATGAACTCGCTCTAAATCCAAAAGTCAACAGGTGCATCTTGGGAAGGCGCTTGCAAAAGAAGAATTTTACCTCGCTTGTAGAGATGATCAGGCTCCTTGTGCCTGACTTTCTCTTCTTTTGTAGGCCCCCATGGCTTGGGCCACCAATCTGGAGCCTTTTCGTCTTGGCCGGTGTAGGGATGATTCGTCTGTTTCTTGGGCTCAACCACCTTGACCCAGGCCTTGGCGATGAGCTTGCAGGCTGTTTGCTGACAATTTTTGAACCGTTGCTCGTAGAGATTCCAGAGATCCTTATCGTCGCCGACTTTCAACGTCTTCTTGGAGCTTGATGCAACCACAATCGCAACGTCATCGTCGTCGTTTACGGGTCTACGATAGCCGCCTCCCATGGCTGCTCTGTGCCTCTTGCGCGTCTTGTAGGTTGCATCCTCATCATAGTTGTCGGTCCCAATTCGACGACGATCGTGTGTGCGATACCCATAGCTGCCGCCGCCAAATGCTTGGTGGTAGCCGTCACCATCGAGGCTGAATTCGGAATCATCTTGTATGGGAGCGGCAACTACATGGCGGGTTTAGCATACGTCAAGCATGGCGCGGCTTGGATAAGAACCCACCAGGACGCACACCACTCGCGTGGCTGACGTTGTTGACGTGCCGAACAAAATTCTTCAAGCTGAAGAATTTGCTGTAAGCGTTAGGTTGGTGTCTTTCTCCCGTGTTACCAAACACCTGTGTAGAACCATCGTCCAATACAGCTACCATGAAGAACTTCTTGGCTGGAATGTTGCAGTGATCACGCAGGGCCTTCTCAATATCCTAATAGAAGTCAGATATCTACGTCAGCCGTCTATAACGTTGCGGCTACTCACAATCGGAGGTCTACGAGCGTCGCGAGCTTCGTGGTATCTGCCATCCTCGGGGGGAGGAGGGTCAATTGGAAACCTGTCCGGATGCCATTGCCGAGGGTATGGCTCCCGATTGAAGTCGCGGACCATGGCCACAGCACAGATAGCGGAGGAATCAAGCCGACAGAAAGGAAAAGCGCATCCACTCGTTAAGCCTGGAGAACTGAGGCGTCGTTTGAGCGAGATTTAAGAGGCTATCGGGAGCGAAATTCGGCGTGTAATACTGCCGAACGAATACAGAAGGAGGGGAGGCGAATATGATGTGTAACTACGCAATGGTTAGACAACATTGAGATGCTAATATCTGCATTCGAATATCCTACAAGATGCGGTAGAGGGTGGGACTTCCGAGAGGTGATGGATGCGGAACGGAGGTATGTGTTTAGGAAAGTACCATAAAAGGCAGAACCCAACGTGACCTCGGAGTGGTCAAGCCTCGCACACGAGAAGATTGTGTTGTTTTGGGTGACACTCAAGCCTGATGCCCGCGGTAGGTCTTTGGGACTTGGCTGTGATATGTCGAAATGCCTGCGCGAGGGTAGATGCAGCAGAGAGCCAGACTCGCCCCGAAGTTTGCTTAGCGGGCTGCTCAGTAGATATTCCAAAGTCCGGCCGAAGAATATTAAACCGATTGGGGCCGGAAGCAGACCAACAGAAACGGAGCGGGATCTTGCGTGAGATCGTCGGTGTTGGCCTGGCGAATAGCTTTCGAACGCGGATCTTGAGGCAGAGAAATTGCTAAATGCTGTTTCGTGGCTGAAGAGACGAAATTGACGGTCCAAGTGAAAGACGCGACAAAGCAGAAGGTTTGTGACTCGTCAGGGGCGTTACTGGTATTTGGGAGAAAAAGACGACGGAGAGAGCGGGACCGGGTGGTTCAAACGGATCTATCAGTTCGCGAGACTGGGCGCCAGGACGGACCTCAAAGTCCTCTTTGTTTTCAAGACGGCTTGAGACATCGGGGGGGAGAGCCTCTCCACTGGTTCGCGGGTTTGTCTTAAAGCGCAACTCTCCACGCAATGTCTCGGGGAGGGGGATGTGTAGTGTAGACCAAGAAAGAGGTGATGTTGGCGACTGGGAAGGGGAGAAAACCAAGCCAACACGACGCGTGTGCTATCTTTCCAAGGTCGACACGAGGAAAAAGGATGCGGCTGTCTTCGGAAGAGAATCAGATGAGAAGGAAAGAGCCAATAACCACGAGCTGGAGGGTGAGGGCCCTAGATGAGTTCAAGGCTCGCGGGCTGAGGTGGATCTTGGAGGAAGGATGGACCTGCAAGGCGGAGGCGAGTTGAGCTTGTCGACGGGTCCCCTACCTCTCGTAATGATCTGAGTTAGGGCTTTTTAGTGTATCTCGATTGTTGCCGTGGTATGTGACAGCCAGCTGAGGAGTGCGGGCGAGAAGCAGCGTCCCGCAAGCGAGGGGGGCGTTTGAGCAGCGAGGCCGCGCAGATGACTTGAGGTCGAGGGGCAGCGAGACTGGCACCCGCAGTTGTGGAAACATGAACGACCAGAAAAGCAGGACGTCTGACCAGGAGGTACCCTGGTCTAGTCAACGTGAGCTTCTACCCTCCTTCAGCTCTTGGCTTGACTGCAATTTGTTAGTATAGAAACCGGGGACTAACGAGCCGCAGTAATGATGGACGTGTCCGCCTGGGTGCAATAGGAAAAGGCAAGAAAAACGGATTGATACCCGCCTGAAGCACAACAGCAAGTCTTCCGGCGCAGGACTGACGACAGTGGAGTAAAGAAGGGGGGATAGAATAAAAGGGCTTTCTCAGGTAAGCCTTTAGATGCGGTGGAATGTGGTCAAGGTACTTGTGAAGCTGTGCAAGGGGAAAGCGAGCAGGTACCTAGGTAAGTTGAAGACCCCCCCTGGTCCGCAACCCTGATAAGGTGTGGCAGGTGCCAGCCAGGAGGGAGAGGATGCTCGATACCTGGTCCCATACTCTCCGTACGGATACACCACCCTCCAATGCCGCAGCTCGACATCCCGACAGGTGGTCTGCAGGAGACGACACTCACCCCTCCCGAGGCAACCCCCCAAGCTCATCCGTGTTGTTTGCACTACTGTAAGTAGACCAAGTAGACCAAGTCGACCATGTACTGTACCAGACATGTACTATGCGCATCTCCGTACATACATGAGCTGTACCAAACCAAATACGGCCATATGTGGTCGAACAGAGACCCTCATCGTTGTCCTTCCGGCCAGAAACCCACCATGTGCTGTCACTGAGTGCGAGGGTTGTAGAGGGCGATCCTCGTAGCCCTGGTCACACTCCTCAAGGCCCCCCCCCCGGCTGCCAACCGTCTGCAGACTGAGGAATACTACAGCCAAGGCCCGCAAGTTGAAGGCTCTGTCCGGCCAGAGCCCGTATTGTCTGGATTCGCAGATGTCTCTTCATTTCTCTGGTTTCCACTTGCTCAAATATGTCGACGAGGTCGGCGTCTCAAGGACTGGACTTGCGGAAGATGAGGCCAGAGTGGCCACGTGGACCGCAAAGCGATGGGCGGATTCCATCCTGTGGCAATAGTAGAAACCCGAGCGCCCGTCTGCTGCAAGATTCAAGAGAGCACTTTTGCCAGTTTCGTCGAGCCGTCAACCGTTCTTCTCGGTTGCGCTGGGTTGCGCTGGAGAGCCATTGCGCAACCAAGAACAGATGATGAAAAAAAAAAAAATCATAATTTGTGTGAGTGCATGAAGGTGTGGGAGACAGACCATGTCCACGAGCAGGGGTTGAAGTGAGACAGCGGTGGGCCGGGCTGAACGGCGCATCGGTCGGCAAAAGCCTTGCCAGTCATACGGGTCCGTTGATTACATGGCATTGGCTGGGTCTCTGGATGGCCATTGCATCATTCGAGCCCGCGCTGTTCGTCTCAGGGCTTTCTTTTCCTCCCATGATGTTGCTGCACGCTAAGCAAGCCTTGCAAGACTCCCTTGGGGCCCGAATTACTTTTGAAAACCTTCATAGAGTAGGTGTTCGTATCATCGACTCTACATAGTAAAAGGCACGGCGCCTACGAGATGCCACGGTGGGGTTACAACCGCCAATGTAGGTGGTAAATTTCCATTCAGACTTTCCGGTTTGTAAAGCTAGAAACACTAGTAATGGGGATTAGGCGGTGGGTCATTATCAGAAGAAGGAAAAAAAAAACCGACCGGTACAGCAACGTAAGGTAGTTTGTTAAATTGGAGATGCTACACGCGCATAGTGAGGGTTGAGTAGCCACATCGCCTGCTTTGAGGGACAGTTGAGGCTTTCACTATTGTGTGACTGGCGGACTGTCCAGCGACAAGACGACAGCGAAGAGAGTGCTATCCCGGATGTAGTGTATGGCCCTTGGCAGTCGGGACGCTTCATTCTGGATGAGGATGTACATGAGGAGAACTGTGCCATCCACGACCGCCGCTTGGCTACGAACCGGGTTGCTTACTAGACAAATATTGCCCAATCTATTTAACGTAAGTTCAGGCTATGTGCACTGTTAGCTCAGAGCTCTCATCAATGGTCGATGACGAGAACGCGGCCGGTCACTCATAGTAAGTGTGACAATCAGCTGGGCCAAGTCACACCAGAACGGAACATACCCCGAGAAAACTGTGTTGATTGCGCCAGTGGGTTCACTATACGCGGGTGCATCCTGTTTAGCTTCATAATGTCAGGGTATTCGTAGCCTCCATCCCTAGCGGTTGGGTTCGCCCTTGCTTCTGGACGGGGTCGAGCGGGGACATTAGTACGCAGAGGCCGGTGTATGACTCCGTTGCGTCGACTAGAGTCTAGGTGCTTGACGAAAAAAATATTTGACAGTTCAGGGCCACCTGCGGGAAGCGGTACGGCGCGGAAGTTAGTACGTTGGCTGGCAAGCAAACAAAATTTGATGGGGAGCCAGCACCCCATCAAAACATGCGGGGAAAGCCTCTCATTCACCGTTGACCGTGGTAAAATAGCAAGGTGCATGTCCATCCAAAAGGGCTGTTTGCTCTTGCTGGTGCATGGAACGCCGGCACGGCACAATGGAAGAGGGTCGACCATGGCTGGGTGCTGGATTGCGAGCAAAACACCGCTCCGCTGGCCGTGCTCGATGGGACGTCGTCAACGGGGGTGGTCAGGGCATGCTGTGAAGCCGGGGCCGCAAGATGGGATGAAACCTGGGTAGGAACCCCATCGGCTCGTTTTACCAAGGGATTTGGCAACGGGATTTAGGTACAAGTTACAGATAGCATAGGTGCAGTTGATTAGACGTCGGGAAAGATCACCTGTATAGCTTTTTAACTTACGATTATTAAAGGCTTGTTAGTAAAATAAAAGTTAATATTTATGTGGTAAAGAAAAGAAATAATTTCTTTATTACTAATTATTAATATTAAAAAACAAATAATATAATATTTAAAGTAGTTAATATTAAATTATATTAAATTGAATTATATTTTTTTAGTTATATTTAAATAACTTAGTTTAAAAAGTAGTTAAAATTTTTAGAGAAAACTTTAATTTGTAAAATATAAGTTACTATTATACAAAGACATTTAATATTTTATTAGTTTTAATCTCTAAAAACAATCACCACATTAAGGCTTTGATTATATAAAGAAGTTCATACCCGATCAAGTATAGTAAACTCTACTAATTGGAAAATCACTTTTTTTCACCCCTGTCTGGGCCCAAATCCCGTTGCCAAATCCCTTGGGAAAACACGCCGGCCGGGCCCAGGGAGCGGATCAGAACCAAGCATGGCGCGGTCGGGGATGGGTTCCGAACGAGGGGGTGACCTGTTGGCGTCCTGCCCTGGCGTCCTGCCGCATGCCAGAGGCGTCTGATCCTTGACCGGAGCTGTTTGCACGTCCACCAGTGAGATTGTCAGCTCCGTCTACTAGGTAAGGTAAACAGCAACCTGGCACCACAGCTTTGATACGCCGTACACAGCAAACGGCGACGCAACGCGAGGGTATCGCCGTAGCTTGTTCGGTGCGGCTTGATCTACGTCGACGGGAGCGAGGCAACAAGCAAGGTGATGAGTACGAGGATGATTCGGGGGAGGGGACACTGAACGCAATTCAACGGCTTCATTCCAGGGGTTCAACAGGTAACGATATGTGGTGAAGGCGGTGCAGGAATGCAGTAAACGTTGAAGCCGAGAAATGCGTGTTTGCTCCCTCCTCGGAGAGATACAGGGAAGGTGGTTGGTGGATGGGCGATTGGCAGCGGACCTGGACCAGGCTTTGAGAATCGAGGGTCCGCGGTGCAGTATGTGGGACACAGGAACGTGGGCAGCGGAATGCCGGGGTGTAGTATTTCCGCACAGTACCCGATGGATGCTTACCAGCCATGGACTGTGGTCGGAAGCCAGAAGCGCCGGTGGGCGAGCTTGATTGATCCTGGGTGGGCGGGTGACCGAAGGAGGGAGCAGAAGCGTGATCCCAGAAAAGAAAATGCTGGAGGCCGATCATGAAGTTGCGTAAAATGGGGGGAACGAGGGATGAACTGAATTAGACTGGACTGGATTGGATTGGATTTGGGGGAAAAGCGGCAACGGATTGGCTGTTGTCCGGGGATGGAACGTCGCTGATGAGCTGGTGAACAGTGAGGCACGTACCCCGAGCAGGATCACGTTCCGGGTGGAGACAGGGTGCGGCCGCCCGGCTTCTCCACTTATGAAAAGGATAGACACGAATATAAAGTACTTCCAGAGTACCAATGCACCACTACTGCCCGCACTGGCACCGTCGTACTGTATTTGTAGCGTACCGTGCCGTGAGGTAAGGTATTATCCGTACGAACCTTGTTGTCTTGCTGGGATAAGCCATCCGCACCTCCCTCCTTCTTTCTCTACACGGTCCCCTTCCGTCAGCAGTACCTACATTGTAGGCATGCGCGCGCACTGCGCGTTCTGCCAGGTCTAGGGGACAGACTGGCACTCCCCCAAGGCGAATCAGAATCGCGACCCAAGACCAATGGCTTTCGACTTCAAAATAATTCCACTCTGATAGGATATCGTTCTAGGATTCGGACGGGAATGTGGGGGCTCGCCCGGCAGACAAATGAAGAAAACTTTTTGTTCCGAATCGCAACTCCAAGCTTATGTGTGGAAAAGTTGCGTGAGATACTCGCGCCGTCCATCTGAGGCGCGGGGGATGACTTTGGTAGGCAATGGGGCGTGGGCAAGTCGCCTCGGCCAATCCACAATCTCGGACGATATCTCCTGCATGTACGTACGTATAATCGACAATGCAGTGTGGGCGTTTAAGCTTCTCCCCTCACCTCAGAGTTGCTACTCCCTCTGACGATGTTTGGGTGCACCATTGAATAGGCTCAGGTACCCGCTTCCTGAGAGGCTCGAGAAACTTTTGCAAACGCCATTAATACCTCAAGCATGAACCGTGGTACCTACTGCATCTGATTGCATATCGGGAACCTTCGGGTTTCTTGTTCCCGTCTTCCTTTCGCGAGAGCGCGACCGGTATTAGCAGCGCACCCATCATCAACTAGTTCGTGCCGGCGACAGTAGTGGAAAACACTGGTAGGTAAATGGTTTTCCCCTGCCGTTTTGTGAACCTCCCGGCCTGGGCCACGGCGTCGGTATTGGTGTGAAGTAGACTCTGTGCTAGGAACGGCCCGATCGTCACGCCGGTGGCCCCGGCTGTCGTCCGACCTTTTGTTGCGGCGAGGTCTACCTATATTTTCCAGTCGAAGTCCGTCCCATGTTGAGTGCGCCTTTTGACAACTCTGTTGAGCGGAACCTTCGGACTGGAAGCAGGAATTGGGAAAGAAAAACTCTGCCCTAGTTTCCTCGGCCCCGTTTTGCGTTCATGGGGGAACGCATGGTCTGATATTTTGCAATGCCTGTTGCCGAGAGTTCGGCTCGCTGCCTGCATCGCCTGCATCGCCTGCATTGCCTGCATCGACGACTGCATGGAATAGGTCGGGTCCGGCGTGAACTTTCATGGCAAAAGGGTCAAGTCAACGATGACCACGGGCAAGATGTGAGGAACTTTGTCGACATCCCTTGCTTCTACTTGTTGATCGTCCTCATCTGCTGTGGCATGCTTCCGAGGTAGATTAGACTGGATATGGTTGGTCTCTTGCCAAATGCTGGGTATTTTTACCAAGTCTGGTGCTCTACTAATACATGACGCTGATGACCGGGACCACGTTGTAAGGGCCCACGACGTTTCTAGGGTCCAGTTTTTGGCCCAAAATTCAGACTCCCGCCCAGACCAGTTCCTTGTGTGCTTGCACAGCTCCAGGCCCGGTCGTGTCTGTTTTTTTGTTTCTCTCAAGGTGGGCCCTGCCCATGATCGACCCCGAGGTCAAAGATGGAGAGAGGTGTTGGGTGCATGGCTCATTCGATGTCCTGACTCTCTTTACCCGGGCCTACCTGCCCCAAGTCCCATCTCCATCTGCCTTACCTGAATAAGAGGCACAGTTGACCCAGACTGGAAGGCACCGAAATGCGCTTGTCTCTTTCGGCTTACTTAAGGGTCGAAAAATCGGTTAGACTACTGCAGGGAGGAAGGTGTCCTGCGACCTGCCACCAGTGTGCCTTCTCGCGCTTCTCCGACTATCAGCAGAGACAATCCCCCGTGACCCCTCTTTGCTCTCAAAAGTTCAAAGTCCAAGACGTGGACAAGACGACATCTCATTGGTCGCCGTGGTCTCACCTTTCTTTCCAGACAGCAGACAGGTGGTCCGCCTCTCACCCAACTCCGTGACCCCGCCAACTGCTGTTTCCTACATCACCACGTCGTGCGGCCTCTCGTCGCCATCGTCCGTCTGGGCCTGCACTACTGCTTTCTTACCCCGTCGAGACTCATGGCGAGAGCCATGATTAAGTTCTCTGCAACACCATCATCTCAGTTCCTCGTCTGCGGCATGCCCTACGCCCTAACGCCTAACTTATCGACTCGTTCCCCCCAGCACTCCAGTACAGAAAAGTTGGGGCGTCTTGTAACCGCCAGTCTTTTCGCCTGAAGCCACATATACCTCCGACCCAGGCACCGCAGATACAGCCAGCCACCTGCAGTCGTCGAGAGATGATGACGCCGTCCATTCCTGGACACATGTGCATCTGGTCGAGTCCAGTTACACAACAGGCTGTCCACGCTCCTGTGCAGAACCAACTCCCTTCATGGAAATGGCGCTGGAAATGCATTGCTTACGGGGTTGAGATGGTCAGCCGGGGGGCCGATCCAACCAGTTGATGCACCCACATTGGTCCGTCAACGGTTCGTTTTGATTGAATACTGCAGCACTCACACACATTGTCCGCCGACTTACCTGGAACCTACCGCCCTACTATAGTACATTGGAGGGCTCGCTCGGCCGACTTTGTCACATATTGCACCGGCTTGTCTCGACCGATAGCGTAAAAGCAAGATATCGTCACATCCTATCGATCCAAAACTGCCGGCCTGGACGAACCCACGACTCCACCACGCTAGAGAAGGTCTGGTAGTGCTGGTGCATCTATACATGCTCCGAGACCACCACCTTTCTTGCGGCCGCCGTCGAGATCCTCGTATACTCGTCAGCCAACCATTGATCCCATGGCCACCATGGCCAAAGGCATGTCTGAGGCAATGTGGTTAGTGGGGAATCTCGACGCCTCGGCGTAAAACACGAAACCCCCGTCGCTACAGCCCATCATAAAAGAAAAAGCAATAAAGTCGACGACCACCTGTTGTTTTCATTGCTTTTTCCTTTGAGACGGCAGTTGCTCCGCCGAAGAGCGCACAACGATCGCGTCTTTTTTTGTTCCCGATTGAATGACCTCTGCATCTTGAGCCAAGCAGCCGCTTAGGGCCAGTCGTCGGCTGCATCAGCTTAATGCTAGTTCATTCTTTTGGTAAAAACTAGTCGTGCTGCTGACGCACCGATTTTTGGACGACAACGCCTGTTGCAGAGAAGCGGCGATGAGTTGAAAAAGACCCGCACCGCTTGGATGTGTCTCGATCGTATCCGGTTTCGGTGCCCTCCAGAGACACCCCTAACATAATTTTGTCCAGATGCCGCAAGTGCCTGTTCCAGTCGACGGGAAACTTTGGAACAAGCTACTGCGACTGTTGCCAATGCATCGTCACCGATAGACACCATGCAGGATTCCCGAGTGCTGGCCAGCAGTTCGCTAAGGCAAGCTGCTGGGAGTGAACGCCTCGTGGAGCAGATATGTACGTTTCGACCTCTCTGGTCAACTTCCGCTGTCCCGTCTGCACAGAGCGGCCGGCGTGAAGAAAAAGACTCTACCACTCCCTTGGGACATTCGATAAGTCGGTGTTGGCCTGCCTGCCTGCCTGGCCGGCCTGGCAGGGAGTCCTACCACACCAAGAGGGTGGGTTACATCAACCATCTGCTAGCTTCGTCCTCGGCTTCCCACATCGCCCCCCAGATGGAGTTCCTTGGCATCCTTTCCCCGATAGCCTTCCCATTGCCTCGCAGCGAGCGAGATACCCTCGGAAACTTCGCGACATCATTCGGTGAAAATAATTACAGCAACATGGTCGACTACACGCCAGAGAACCTTGAGCACACACTGGCTCGACACTGCTTAGGTTGGCAATTCGGCGGCGGCAGCGGCAACACGGGCCTGCCGGATCTCAGAGACGAAGACAACTATATTTTTGTGCGAGTCGCAATCATAGATTGCAAAAGGAACGCCCAAGCGGGGTGGGTGTTCCGCACGCTTCAGCCAACTGAATCTCTGACAGACTGGCTGTCAGGATAACATCGCTCCAACATCATCTCCAATCTGTACCCCCCTTCGAACCTGAGAATGGGGTCTCGGACTTGGTTCAAAGTTGTGATTCGTAAACTCGTGGACATATCCCCTGGGTTCCACGCCGTGATTCGTCCTCTCTGCAGGGATCACTGGCGTCCAATTCCGTCACCACCACCACCACCACCAACGGTCACTCACGAAGCCACGCCCTCATCCAGCAGCTGCTGCGCGGATCAGGGGATAGCCCTGGGGAGTCTCCGGAAGACTGTTGGCATTCGCACTGGAAGTCCCCTGCAGGCCTTTCCACTTATAACCGTACCTTACCTGTCATTACGGATACAGCCCGGTTCTAACTTCTGACAGCTCAAATCACCTCACAATTGGAACCATCTCCACCCCCATTCCCTCTTTTTCGTTACCTTACTCGCGACCTCGCGGACGGTTCAATGAACAGACATGGCGGCTGCATCCCATGCGTCAATCGGGTTGTGTCTGCCCAGCTGCCTGCCATTCATAGATTGTGGTTGCAAGGTGTCGCTTGAACTCGAAAGTTTAGCTCAATGTCCGTGTTGCTGGGGGCGTTGCCGGACGCTTTG